ATTAAACCAGCTCACATATCTTATTAATGGTCCTTTAAATTAATTCTCGATGGCCAGCAGATAAACATACTACAACCTGTCTTTATTTATTACATTTTTATGTCACGACTTTATGTCAATAGAATAAAGTTGAAGATATAATAGAGAAATTTGACAGAAATGGATAGAATGTCGTACTGGTCACTGTTCAATTAAGAAAGGCTTTGTTTTTTTTGTTTTAAGAGGGGAAAGTCATCGAGTGACCGCTCCTGCCTGGGTGAGGCGGGAGGAGTGTCAAACTCTTACTGACTAAAAACCACCCCGTTACTACTCCTGCACTTCGAGCCGGAGCCCCGGCAACCCGTTAGGTTCTCCGCGACTAATTATTAAAGGCTGAGATTACAATGACTCACACCTTTTACATAGATAGTTTTAGGCATATAACCAAAATGAGTATATATATATAATAGTACTAGTTCATTTTACGATTAACAAAATCGAAGTGTTACCATGTTTAGCCCTTTGATTCTCTCTGATGGATCCCAACAGGGCTGATGCCAATACGGAGCCGCGGAGGACTTAACGGGTTCCCGGGGCTCTGGCTCGAAGTGCAAGAGTAGGACGGGGTGGTTTTTAGTCAGTAAGAGTCAGACACTCCCTCCTTACCCAGGCGGGAGAAGTCATTCGATGATTATCCCCCCTGAAAAACAAAAAAAAAGTCGTCTGGTTTGTAGGAACAGGCTAATTAAAGCGCCGAACGTGGTAAAGTTTCGCATTCAAACTTGTTAAACCAATTCTAAGTAGGTAAGCATTGAGTTCGAAACAAAGTCCAGACGTGTAAATTATTTAATCACGAGCGCACTCGTGATTATATATACGGCCTTTTTCCTTTTTTCTTCCTTTACTTCTATATAGATACGTATTTTCTATACAGAAAATACACATATTACTTAAATATAGCCAAGTGAATTTAAGAATGTTTTTTTATAAACAAACGTTACCCCACATTAGGATTTTCTCCTGTGTCGTGGGTGCGTTTACAAACATACAAGTTCACATACACAATGACACCCAGACCAGAAACAACAATTTGTGGATCACACAAAGTGTTGTTCCGTGCGGGAATTGAACTCGCGACACGTTGCACGGTAGCCGGTTGCCCAGACATCGCAACGACCGTGAACTCGTTTTGGCTACGTTCCTCCTATTTTGCATGAAGAAGTGACGGCATGCGACATTTCAAATAAAAAAAAATTATGTTAATGTTTCCTAAAAATATGTCTTTAAATTTTTTTTTGTTAATCTTACTGACATTGTCATTCCTAATGCGCAAACTAGTAACTTGAAATGTATGTACGTGTGTCTGTTCGTTTGGCAAATATAAAATGACTTTCAACAAAATAATATAATAAACAAGTTTATTTACCTTTATTGTTAAGATATAGATTTAGTATAAGTATAAACAAAATATTAACATTTCCAATACGCCTAGCCGTGAATTATTACAGTTTGTTTAAATATTCATATACCTAGATAAGTTAATAGTAATATTTATAATTTAACGTATTATTTTTGTATTTGTTTTTCATAAATGTTACTCGGTATGTGACATAATTATCATTAAACAAACATAACGCCTACTTTTTCTAATTTGTCTTTAAATATATTGTCTAAAATCTGTTAACAATAAAAATAACTTGTCTGGTAATATAATACCTATTGTGAGACTTTAAATTGATTAAGTTGCACTCACGTAAGTATTTGACGATGGCACTCGATTAGTTTCAAATTGAATCGGGGCTCATAATTATAAGCGCATGCAAGCAACGATACTGGCTTGAAATTAATCGAGTAACAGTCACGTTAGGCAGTAAAATTTACTGCCTTATATTTACTGAGTAAATATAACTTGATAAATCACTTTTCTAGACAAATAAAATAAAGCTGAGATTATGTAAAAACAATTTCAAATAATTCAATTTTTTAATGAATTAACTAAGCACTGTTTTTTTTTGACAGTATGATTTTAAGACAAGTTATATAAAATAGGACTTTATTATAATAAAATGTTATTGTCTTCAATGTGCCTTCCACATAATCACGACTTTTTCAAAAATATCAAAAACCGTTGTACAGACACCATTTTTGAATCTCGAATAGCCGTTACCGGTCGAATTTTTTCGAAATTTCCCTCCAACTTTTTCGTTTTTACGTTCATTTTAAACGGATACCTACTTATTATTCTAGTGTTTACTTTCAAACCTTAATTTATTGATTTTAGTATTAGTATCTAGTATTTTTTCTTTTTTTTTAATTACAATAAGTAGCAGGTGAATTAATATAATGCAAGGGCGAAATTAAAATTACGTTTTGATGAGTTTCTGTTGATTTTGCTTCATATGTACTATACGGTATGTTCTAAATGTCATACAGGTTTGCAATTTAAAGAATAATTTTAATCTTATTGAATTATTCACTAAGTATCTTCGTGCAATCCCTTTGAACTAGTCTTAATGAGAAGTTGTTTTGGAAACTATAATTTAAAATAAATAATTCTTGCATGAAAATGGCATTTAATGAAGCTGTTTTAACAAACGGCATGTTTGAAATTACTCTTATTGTTTAACACGTAAATCGCCGCGTAGGTCACCGGTGACCTACGTTAGCGGAGGATTTGCCGTCAGCAGGTTTCTGTCGGCAGTCAGGCTTAATCAAGATTTATAATATAATTGATCATTTACACACCAATAAAGAAGATTTTTATCTCTTCCCGTTTTGGCTAAAGTGCACTTCTTATTTTTATCGATCCCATCGGACTCATTTTGAATTCAATTTTGTCATAATTATTAGTAAAATAGACGTAACAAATTAATTAAGGTTTCATCAAAATAATTAGTTTCCATTACTTACTCATGTTAGAAATCTGCTAAATCACTTACTATCACTCTCTTGCGCACTTTCATAGGTAATTAAGAGTCAATTTATACTAGCATAGTACAACAATCAATCTGAAATGTCACAATAAAACCATCCTTAATTCCATAAAGTAGAACACATATTCCTTTTAAGATAAAACAAGATCCTAACTTAGCGCATTCAAAATAATTTGCGCAAGAACACTGCTGAAGGAATATGCGCATTACTGATAAAGTAATAAAGATGAATTTGCTATGTGACATTTCAGACTGACGCTTCAATGCGCTACGAGTTTGCGCAAGTATGAATTAACCCTTATGTTCCGATAACGTGATTATATGTAAGCCTTGGTGATTATTTTGTATAAATTTATTTGTAAAACTTTTGTAAATATATGTATAGACAATGTTAAATATTTCTACGTTAAATGTTAGTTAAAAGCTATAATTGTTGTAAGGCATTGAATAATGAAATAAATGTGGAAACGGATGGTGGGAGTTTATTATGACTTTTTCATTTATTACTGTTGGTCCTGCTGTTATTATTATTATTCGTGATGTTTCTATTGTTTTAATAGTTAGATATAGGTACTACTGTTAACGAACAAATTAAGGATTATAGTGTCATAGTCTAGATAAGATGGTCTAAATAGTAAGATTTTATTTTATACCTATAGGAATTTGGATCATATTGCAGTAATTTTAGAAATTATATAATACGCTATGCTTTGTTTACTTAGGTAGACTCGAGGGAATAGGTTGCTTATCAGCAGACATGCTCCATCGTTAGCTGCATCATCGTGCACCACCAGGCGAGATAGCCAAACGTCGCCCCAATCACTAAACACAATTTATGAAACTATTTGCTTCCTCTACTTAATTGACAATAATGAAAAAGGTACTTAAATAATAATACCTATTTCTTTACAATTACAACAGGCTCTGACATTGAATTATGACTTGCAAATCCCGACTTTAATGCTTTCCTAATAGCGTTTACAGTCATTGACTATTTATGTTTTATTCGCAAAAAATCGTATTTAAATATTGTAATAATATTAATAATCAATATGTGGTGGCTCGGAGGTCTAAAACGCTCGCTTCTCGATGACATGAGGGTGTGGTTTCGAAATCTAACAGCAACTAGCAACTACCAATATGACATTTTCCGGGTTATATGTACTTTCTAAGATTATTTAGACACCACTGATAAAGGGAGAAGGAAAACATCGTGAGGAAACCGAGATTTTATCATTCATAATTGTAAGTCTGAAATCAATCGCCAGCCTGTATTGAGCATGCGTGGTGATTAATCCTCAAACCTTCTCCGCGTGAGAAGAGGCCTTTGGTCAGTAGTGACTACTTATAGGCTGTTGATGTGTGTGTAATAATAATAATCAAACAATGGTAACCGTTTTTATTATTTAATAATTTATTTTTATACTAGTCTCACAAGTGGTTGGCCTTGGTTCTGTTTGATTTTATTTACATTTATTGCTGTTTAATTGTTTGACCGAGTGTTTTTTAACTTGTAGGCGATATAGTGCGATAATTAAGTAGGAAATATGGGGGTTACCTGGAAAGCTTGCCGGGAGTTTTGAGAATGGGCAAATTTGTAGATTTTGATGTGCTCTTTTCGATTTCCATTTTGCACCTTTGTGCGTGCGCCGCTGGGGCCGCCATCTTGGAAAAATGGCGGCCAAAAACAGTTTTTTTACAATATCTCCTTTTCTGTGCATTTTATGAGAAAACCGTTAACTACAAAATTAAACTACTCACAACAAAATATACAAAATTAGCGATTTTTCAAGAAACTCCCGGAAAATTTTCCAGGTAAAACTACCAAATTACTGAAGTACCTATTAACTTTATAAAAAAGTAATTAATAATTAACTTTATATATAGGTACCTACATAATATTACACACTAAATCTATAAATTTAAGATTATTCGCCTTTTTCATGAAGGTTAAACAACAACGATATTTACATTAAAACGATAATAAGACACATGAAATTAAAATCGCTAACAGACTAATTGCTATTGTCTTTACCAAAAATTTATCTACAATTTTCTCACGTTCACAATTGTTACTTAATACTGTTCTTATTTATTTTCTGGACCCAAGTTTATGCTATGGTCTTCTTTGATCATGTCACTAGCTTTTTCAGCTATCATGATCACTGGAGCATTTGTGTTCCCACTTGTGAGAGACGGCATTACACTGGCATCCACTATTCTTAACCCTTCGACACCCCTGACCCGTAACCTTTCATCTACCACGCCCTGACCTTCCACACCCATCCTACAAGCACTGACAGCATGATACTGAGTAGTAGCCAAGTTTAATACATAACATCTCCAGTACTCATGACTACCGAAAGTAAAAGCTACACATTCATCAACTTTGAGATCTATTACTTCAGCCTCTATCTCTTTAAAATACGTTGTGTTGATGACAGTAATGTAATCTTCAATGTATTTCGCAAAGTCTTCCAAATCGTCCTCGTTGCTGAAGTAGCCGGAGTAGATGAGAGGACTGTCTTCAGGGTTTGTACTTCGCAGTTTGATACTACCTCTAGATTTTGGGTGAAGATGAGTAACTAGAGAGAATAGGGCTCCTCTGGTTTGAGTTTCATCAGCTATAACGATGATGGAATTGTCTTTTACGGAAAACGTATCCGAACACAATAAAGGTGGCAAAAGTGCCGCAGTAGGCGTAGGTATAGCAGTAATCTGATAATCTGGATAGCCTTGAGACTTGTTCAGTGCTACGAAACCCAAAAATGATGCCATCGGAAAACGGCTTGTTTCTCCTAAAGGTTTAATATTATCTAATAGTGATAAAAATTTCTTCTTCCCACTAATTAATATAGGAACTAATGCGTGATCCTGCATATTTTGTCCGACGTTTGGCGAATCTAAAACTATGTCTATTTTCATTTCTTCTAAATGATCTTTAGGACCTATTCCAGACAGCATCAGTAATTGCGGAGTATTAATGGCTCCAGCTGATAGTATGACTTCGTTTCTTGCATTGAGTTTTATTATTTGTCCTCCAGGATGTCTTGCTTCAATACCTATTGCTCGTTTATTTTTGTTTACGAGAATTTTTCTTACGAGTGTATTTTTGAGTACGTGAAGATTTTTTCTGTTTTTTATAGGACTTAGGAATGCATTGGCAGTATTTTGTCGAGTTTTCTCATCAGACGTAAAGCTAGACATACCATATCCTAACTGCTGGTGCCCATTATAATCCAGAAGAATATCATGACCTTGTTCTCTGAAGGCGTTTAAGTAATCTTTGGTCACATCTCCCCAAGCCGGTTGTGTGACGGTTAAGAAACCTTCCGAGCCATGTAAATTAGCTGCATCGCTTTTTATTATGGATTCATCTTTAATTTTTTCACTTTTCCTGAAGTATGTGGTGACATTATCCCAATTCCAACCTTCGTTGCCTTCTTGGGCCCATCTATCGTAGTCTTTTTGATTCCCTCGTACGTAAAACATGAAGTTTGTCCCGCTGGATCCCCCGAGCATTTTACCTCTTCGGTTGTGGATGGTTTTTGTTTTGAGCCCTTGGCTAGAGTACCCATCGTCGACTGTGAAGAAGTTCCAATCAGGTAGAGCGGCGGCTACTATTACAGATAAGCCTGGAATCTGAAACGAGGATTTGAAGTTGGACTTTCTCCAATTGATGATTATGGCAATCACTTAATTAAAAGGAAGCATGATTGTCGCCAGACGACCTTATCTGGGTCTAAAAATACAAGAGCTTATAATATTTAGAAATAGATACAGCACTTACAAGAGAAGCTGTTGGGGGATCGTCTCCTGCTTCGATCAGCAGGACATTCCAGTCAGAAACCTCTGTGAGTCGGTTTGCCAGCACACACCCAGCTGATCCCGCACCCACTATTATGAAGTCGAACGTTTGAGAATCTGAAATATGAGTGAATTATGTACAGAACAAGTCAAATGGTAGGTAATTGGTTCCACAGTTCAATTATGAATCCGATGTAATGAGAGGAGAGCTCGGCATCGTTCCAGGCTCCATTCAAGAACAATGAATTTTCAAAAGCCTAATACCTACTTCTTTAGCCGATTCGGTAATTGCGCTTTGCGATCGCTCGGCCAAGAAAACAGTCAAACAAAACTAATTCCAATGATAATAGTAGGTAATTTGCCGTACTTATTTCAATAGGTATTGGTATTGTAATATCCTCTATAATGTTCCTCTACAAATTTTCTCTGGGTTACTATCCATACATGTATCCAACAAAGTACCTTGCAGGATGTTTAGGATTTAATATGTTGGATACTAGAAGGGCATATAATCAACTTCACATCACACTAAAAATCTGTCGAGGGATCATAGATGCTCCTGATCTCCACAGTGAGCTGATTCGATTGTATGCCCCAAATAACTACATACGCGCCCGGAGGCACCGTCTACTATCCGTGCCTGCAAGTCGTAGGTACCGTGGCCCGGGCATCGTCCCCCATTCCTCGCATCCTGTCCGCGTTCAATAGCCTCGTGGAAGCCTACCCTGACTGTGACCTATTCATGGACGAGCTTAAAGCTATTAAAAAGGTTTGTCTCAGTTTTTGTGAAAGTCTCTGAAGTCTGTGTTGAATTGTACAATTAAATGTTTTGTTTTCATTTTACTGTGATATTTCTTTTTTGTCATTTACTATTGTAATTGTCTGATTTTTCTTTATGTTTTTGGTGGTGATGGTAAGGTGATGTCACTTTCTCTAAAAAGTGGGTAATGTTCCAGGGTAGCCCGCGGAATTTAATATTTCGTAAGTGTTTTGCAAATTACAACTCCGTATCGGATACTATAAATATAAAATATTTATTTATCGCACACATATTACAATTGCCGTTACAGACTTATGTGACAAAGTAATTCTACATAATAAACTTTCGAAAATGATGAAGAAGAATGATGCCGCTCACTAGGATTACCTCCTGTATCGTGGTTGCGTTTATAAACATACAACTTCACATACACATTACACCCAGACCCGAAACAACAATTTGTGATTGATTGTGGATCACACACTAAGAGTGGTTCCTTGCGAAGATCGAACCCGCTACACGTTAAGCGGCACACGGTTACCCAGCCACCGCGCCAACCGTGCATGTTTATACCTCTATTATACAACAATATACAACAATACTTGTTAAAAATCAGTCTCCAAAACGGTGTTGTCGATTACTTATACTGCCAGTGTCGAGTGGTGACGAGCATATAAACTTTATTTGATGTGGATTTTTGGAATGTAAGTAACATGTGTTTTCGCTCGATTCGTTACGTTGTTTTCACTATAGGTATTATCGGCCAGTCTATACGAATGCATTTTTACAATATTTTGCTTTAAGATTATTTGGCACTCAAGTAAGTTGCAAGGGGGACGTAAAATGAGGAAGAGATTCTTAATATTAAACCATATCAGTGTTAAGTTTCATCCAGATTCGATAAGCTGATTCACGAGTGGGTAACAAAAATACATCTATATGCTCAAAGTTTGGCATCTATACCTAATTATTAGAAGAATATATTTCTTAACTTACCTTGTACATTCGCTTGTGTTGGATATAAAGAATGGTCTGTCGGGAACAGACTGACAATGGCTATCTGAACCAGCCGTATTAATGGAAATAACACTTTTACTTCGACCACCGAAATAGTATGTAGGATGCTCCTGAAATATTAAACTTAATGTTTAATGTTTGCACTATGAAGAATACAAGAAAAGATACCAATGCCACAATTTGTTTAATTAAAAAAATAAAAGCTTTAAGGGAAGCGGATTTTCATTGCAGATAGGTAATCTAGCTGTATATTTATTAAGTAAGTAGGTACGTATTGTAATATTTTTACATTATCATCATCATAACTTTTACGCTGTTCATGGGCTTCCAGCAATGACAGGCCGGCCAGGCCGGTCAGGCCGGTCGACAGCGACTTGCATCCAGAAATTCCATGCGACTGTTATAAGGTGTTCACCTTGTAGGCACAGTGAAGGACGGGAAGGACATCCGTCCTTCGCTGTGCTTGCCGGTAAATACATAAATAAATAAATTTTTAAAATAATTTAATTATTACTCACTTAAACTGTAGTCCAATAAACATAATAAGTAGTGCAAAAACGATTCCATTAATTTTAATGCGCGGGAAAATAGTCATACTAGCCTCTTATTTTTTTTTCACTACGCATAGGCACGCTTTTATTAGAATACGTCCGTTCCGTTTCGCCGATATTACAATAACATTAAAACTGCTAAATATTAATATATACTGGTTCTCTGTGGCTTTATAAATATACCAACAATGGAATAAAATTAACTTAGGATCCGTTCACAATGACATTATGACGCAGACAGAACGCAGTTTTTGTGTAAATGTAATACCTACCTCCTACCTCAATTATTAACTCACTTACACAGTCACTCAATTGAGTGATAGGTACACACAAGTGAGAGTTGGAAAAAGGTCCTCAGGGTTATATTTACGGTTACTGCTGCGTAGGTACATAGATATATTAAAATAAGCCCTTGTGCGCTTAATGTGAATTTTATGGAAAAACTGGTTTCGCGCCTTATGGAGTACCAATTTTATCTTCAGTCTGTTTTCAAAAGCGGATCGATCAAAAACTGATTTACTCAATTAGTATTCACTCTAACTAGAATATATTAAATTGTATTAATTAATGTTGTACTTTCAGTATTTTGAGTAAAAGACCTCGCGCTTGATATAGAGACCCTTGGGTCAAGAGCTAGCGGACTAAATAGGACCCAATGCAATGGTTGATGCCGATACGCAACCGCGGAGGACTTAACTGGTTGCCAGGACTCTGGTTCGAAGAGCAGAAGTGGTTTTTAGTCTGTAAGAGTCTGAATCTCCCTTTTGCGTCACCTAAGGTGGCAAAAGTCCTTCAGTACCTTATTTCATGATTTTCCCTATTATATAAAGGTAGAAATGTTTACAAAACGCTATTTATTTTATACACAAGGCGATGCTCTTAGTTACCAAATTAATCTCCTGATTGATTTCGGTGGCCGGTCTGTCTAACTAGACTAGGCGATATTTGAAGATATTATAGTGCACAAGTGCACTCTGTTCCCCTTACTTTCTGGACCTGGACGGATGGTGCGGCAGACCGACACGACCGGAGAGAGATCAGGCGCAGGATCAACAGCTTTACGTGCCTTCCGAAGCACGGGGGAAAACATCACCGAACTTCCTGTATCCGGGCTAATAATGGTAATTTTACTCAGATCATGCCCATACATATCACTTTTTGGCCGGCGTGAGAATTGAAGTCGCGACACTTAGTACAGCAGCCGGTCACCCAACCACTGCGCCCACCGTGCAGAGGTAATCAGTCCCTAAGCTATAGGAAAACCACGAGGGATATTTCAGCGCATAATTAATGGCTATCAATCCATTGTTGTATATTGTATACTTTATTATTAGGTACACAGGCATTACAACGTATTGTAAAATAATAATAATAAAAACTTAACACCTAACGTATAACCATTGAATTCAATCTGAGAAGTAGTTATGCAAAAATAATTTATCCGAAGACTTAATGAAATAGTAGCCATTCTCAGTAAGCCCTTTGCAATCAATAGCAACAAAGTAATTTTCTTATTAGTTTACATTTTTACAGTTTATTGACTGGATGTTTCTACTAATACATCGTTGCACCTTTCATTTATTTTCGAACGAATAGATTTGATCTCTTTTTGAGCGAACACCAATCCTGTCATCTGTCATTGTCAAATTGACATTTGTCAAAGCATAATCATCTCATGTATTTTGTCATGTGTTTTTGTAGTAAACTTTTTTGAATTATAGCAGCAAAATGTCGAAATTGCGTCCTATATTGAATCTATCCTATTGCCGGTATTACAGTGTAAAGCAGGCGAAGAAGAAATTACCTATAATAACGTGTAAACGGCCGGAATTCAATCATTATGAAGGTCAGAGTTACAGTAAGTTTGACGGGATTCCTCTGGCTTCTAAAGGTTGGATGAGCAAAAAATCCAAGAACGATTACTTTATAATTTATGGGAATGCGAATCAAAAGGAAGAAAAACCAATTTACAAGAAGAGTTTCGAAGAAATCGGTGTTTCACCTGCTTTAATTGAGGTTATGTCAGAGCAAGGGTTTTCTTTGCCGACTGCTATTCAAGCAAAGGCGGTCCCTTCTATATTAAGTGGTACCAACACTGTAATGACCGCGGAGACTGGTTGTGGGAAGACGTTGGCGTATTTGTTGCCAATATTCCAACATATATTGGAGTGGAAACCGAGCATTAAAGAAGAATTTAACAGTCCTTTAGCTGTTGTTATAACTCCGAGCAGAGAATTGGGTAAGTCTCTAGGGCCTTTTTTTTTTTTTTTGAGGGGGGAAAATCATCCAATGACTTCTCCCGCCTGGGTGAGGCGGGAGGGAGTGTCAGACTACTACTGACTAAAAACCACCCCGTTCCTACACCTGCACTTCGAACCGGAGCCCCGTCAACCCGTTAAGTCTTCCGCTTCTAAGTCTCTAGGGCCTAAGATATATTTTATGGACTAGGCACACTTAGACATTTTTTTATAATACAGCATGTCTTTGAAATGTTGTATTGATTGTATTGAATTGCCTTCCATTAAAACACCATCTAACTTCAAATACAACTTTTTTCAGCTACACAAGTAGGAGAGGTGGCTCAAAACATGGCCCAGCGTCTAAACCTAAACGTAACCACCCTTGTAGGAGGTCGCACGAAACAGAAAATGTTGAACCCACCAATAGAATACTGTGATATTCTAGTCACAACGCTTGGTGCATACAGCAAACTGGTTACAACCGGTATTTTTAAGATCAATAACGTTCATCACATAGTTCTCGATGAAGCGGATACTTTGTTAGATGACAGTTTCATTGAAAAAGTTTCACATTTATTGAAGAAGTTCCCCGTAAGTAGAATTCTATTATTATCACACGCAACATTGCTTTATCTGCAATACTTATTCTTTCAATGTCTCTTATTTATGAAATTTAACTCCAGTTATTCATATTATTTTCACTGTTATTTTACTACAATCAAAGTCAAAATCAAAATCATTTATTTAAATTAGACCAAGGCACTTTTGAATGTCAAAACAAAATATTTAAATACATAAAAAAAACATAACATCATGCCTTAGGGGTAGGCAGAGGTGCACATTACGGCACTTTATGCCACTGTACAATGTAACACCCACTTTTCACTATTTATGTTATGAGTTCCATGTAATAGGGGGTGAGCCTATTGCCATATACCATGCACATTTCCAGACTCCGTATTACTACTGAGATTTTTAAAAACCCAGTATTGACTTTGCCGACCTGGGAACTGGTCATCTGTCAGACAGACCCCTTGCCCGACAGTCGCACTTGCGACCACTCGGCCAACGAGGCAGTCATATTAAATATTTAAATATTAAAGAGATAATGTCAGTCTGTCAGTCAGGTCTCTAGTGAAATTATTTAATTAATATTACAGATTCAACACAAAGTCCAAATCCAGACACCGCCGGTGGGCTGTCAGATAACATTTGTGAGTGCGACCATGCCTCATGAGCTGCCAGCAGCAGTGAATTCCTTTGTAGACCCTGAGTCCTTGAAGACAGTCACCACCAGCAACATTCACCGGATACTACCTCATGTTCCACACAAGTGAGTGATTTGTTACATTGTACACCTCTTGTCTGTTGAATCACCAGCTCCCGGTATAAACACATTATGGCCCGCAACTGTCAACAGACAAGAGGATAATAGAATAACATGTTACTGTAAATTGACAAGACTTCTTGAATTGTTTTTTATTTCATCTTTTTTTATTTTTGTTTCATCATTTTATTTGTGTCAAAAGGTAGACTTTTGAAACAAATAAAAAAACACACAAACAAAACAAGAGAAGCCTTCGCGGAGAACCTAACGGGTTACTGGTGCTCAGGATCGAAGTGCAGGAGTAGGGACAGGGTGGTTTTTAGTCAGTAAGAGTCCCACACTCGCTCGGAGCAGTCATTCGATGATTTTCGCCCCTTAAAAAAAAACCATGCCCAAAGTAACCTCTGGTCAGAAGCCAGAATGCAGACTTAAGCAGTCTTGCTTTAGTCCGGTTAATAGTGCATATTGTACGCATTTTCTGTATAAGATATAGGCATCTATATCTTTTGCTTGTACTTACTTAAATTTTTATTATTTTATTTATTTATTTATTTATACTTTTTACTACCTACTTCCGCGCGGTTTCACACGCTCTGCTCAGCTCCTATTGGTCGTACCGTGATGTTTTATAACCTGTAGCCATCCTCGATAAATGCACTATGCAACACAAAAATAATTATTCAAATCAGACTTGTAGTTACGGAGATTATCGCGTTCAAACAAACAAAAAAACAAACTCTTCCGCTTTATATAATAGTATAAGATAATAGTATAAGATTAATAAGAATGGTGGTTAACTACCCATCCAAATACTGACTTAATTATCTATCCTCTTTTCCAGGTTCATGCGACTCGGTAAAGCCCAGAAACCAGTAGAACTGCTCCGGTTAGTTCAAGCAGACATGAATCAAAATCGTCCAGTAATGATCTTCTCCAACAAGACTTCCACTTGCGACTTTGTATCGATGTTTCTAAACGAGAATAATATCGAATGTGTTAATATAAATGGCCAGATGGCGGTTGCTTTGAAATTGGGCAAATTTGATCTTTATAAAAGCGGGAAGGTCAATGCTCTGTCTTGTACTGATATTGCTTCAAGAGGATTGGATACTTTAAGGGTAAGTTTCATATATTTTTTTTATACTTAACTATTTGATGGACCTACGTTTGGCCACTATCTCGCCTGCGGGGTTATTATCACGTCCTAAAGTCAGAATTTCAGGTCAAGTCAGGGTTTCGATTCCCGGGTCGGATAAACAATTACTGGGTTAAAAAAATCTCAGTAGTAGCAGAGTCTGGAATTGTGCCCGGTATATGGCATTAGGCTCACCCCCTATTACATGGGACTCATAACATAATGAATTAAGTGCCATAATGTGCACCTCTGCGTACTCCTTCGGGTATAAAAAGGCGTGATGTTTCTTTAAGTTTATGCGGCAGGCCAAATCCTAGTCTTAATAACTCATATAGGTATTATTATAATCCCTTTCCATTCTATTACAGACACAACATATAATAAACTACGACTTTCCGCTGTACACCGCCGACTACATACATCGTTGCGGTCGTACCGGCCGTATGGGGTCACCCAAGGACTGTCTCATCACTAACTTCGTTGCCTGGCCTCGAGAAATAGAACAGGTACAGAAAATAGAACTTTCTGTTAGAAAACACAGTGAGTTACCCAGTGTTAATGCTAATATTAGACGGATTATTGAAGAGAGGGTCGTTAAAATGGCCGGAGTTTTGTAAGTAATTACTGAAGATATCTACTTATTGAATTAGGTACTTGCCTTCATCAAATATAAATTACTAGCTACTTCCGCGCGGTTTCACTCGCTCTGCTCGGTGCCTATTATTCGTAGTGTGATATTTTATAGCCTATATCCTTCCTCGATAAATGCTTCGATGGGCTATCCAACACAGAAAGAATTTTACAAATCGAACCAGTAGTTTCGGAGATTATCGCGTTCAAACAAACAAACAAACAAAAAAACAAACTTTTCAGCTTTATAATATTAGTATAGAGGTAAATTTCGACTGTTCAATACAATAAGATATTTAACAAATCACACTTTCATTGATTGAGTTTATAACTAAATTAATATTAGTATTATTCTAGCAAATTTTTAAGAAATAAGTACGCTGTTTGACGCTAAAAATCGTGACGTCACAATACAAAATCTCGTACAAAATTCATAGAAAACTGTCGTTCGAAAAAAGTATTGAATTTGGCTAGTTGGCAAGTACCCAATTATGTAGTCTTGGTAAAGGAGAATGGCAGGTTTGTATGGAAGTTTTGTACCGCTATAAAATTTTGTATTAGTCATTGTTTTAACCAAGTGAATAGTCTGAACGATAGATATTTTTATTATGAAGTTTAGAAAAAAATTACATATTTTTAGAACTTGGGGTTCAAAAGTTATTTCACTTTGAAAATGTGCAAAAGGTATGTTAAGGTGGTACCACACTTGACATTGCGTAGTCGCTTCATTTGTCCAAATATTTGTAGACTACGTACAATTGGCGTCCAAATAGTATCTCTATATGTAATGGCGTGCAAATATATAGCAAACAAAGAAGAATAAATCCTCCAAACATGTTCTTTTTTGGCCGAACACAACAAATACGCAACGTCAAGTGTAGAGCCACCGTAAGCAAAATATCTATTACAAATGACAGATGACAGTTAACTGAAAAATGTCAATGTGCTCTCATGTGGTTGTTTATTTACAAAAAACAAAAATCTAAAAATACTGCTCGCTACTCAAGTGACTATTACACTTTGTATTATTAGAAAGAAAGAAAGAAAGAAAAACCATTTATTTTGCTACGACACACAACAAGAATTTAGAAACCCAAAAAATAACCTATGGTGCGTCGCAGCGCAAAAGGCAATTAGGAATGATCCTGTTAATTCAGCAAGCATGATGCACCTAGAGTTTTAATACACTGTAAATTCATCATCACGACAAATAACAACACACTGCACAAAATAATGTAAATAAGTGTCTTTTCGCAATTGTCACAACAATGATGCCAATAATACCAATTTGGGCTACGGAGGAACGGTTGCCAAACTCAACGTATCACCAGATGAATAAAATAACTTCAAATTCAACAAACACATCATAACATCGCATTTGAAACAAACAGCAATGCGCCAGTATTGACAAATTAATTGTCAATGTCATCAAGACAAATGCCAGTTCAACATTGCCATAATATTCAAGTTTGTTAAAATGTTAATTATCATTAATAATCCATGTAAACGTAGATTTAGATTGGATGTAGATTTTTATATTTACTTATAAAAATGTTTGAAATGGAAAGGAAAATATTTCATTGATAGATATTAAAATAAATGAGTTTATGAAATAGCGAAATTCAATATGCTCTGATTTCATGTTTACGCATGGCAACTTTGTAAACGTCAATCGCGGTTCGTTTTACGTATAGTGGATTGCTTTTTATCATTATTGAATATCAGTTTTTCTAGGGTTTCCCAAGTTTTAAAAATCTATTAAATATGCTAACATAACGTACTTAGGAGGTTCTATAATGACCCAATTTTTTAATGACAAATCTTTTTTTAGCGAAGCGGTACAAAATCTGCCGTTCTCCTTTATATGTAGATATGTGTAGCTAAGTATTTAAGAATTTATAACTTTACTGTTGTAATAAATTGTTACAAATCAATTGTTGGCATTTATTTTTATAAGTGACTGGCCAGTCACTTGCCGGGTCAGCTGACTCGGCAATCTTCGTATCACCTGAAACATTTATATCTCACCGTTTAAACCTTCTTTTGATTTCCACGAACATTTCAAGACCAAAATCAGCCAAATCGGTTCACCCGTTCTCGAGTTTTAGGGAGACTAGAAACTAACGAAAAGACAATGATGAGTTTTGTAAACAAACAGCTGTACAACCAATATGGCGTCCGCTAAATACGTTTAGGCGCGCTAAATAGCCAACGTGGCCCGTTTAATTTTGACACATGGCTAATTACGTTTAGTAACTTAATTTTTGTTGCGCAAGGCACTAAACGATTTTAGTTTCGTAATTTTGTTTAAGGAGTACTTAAATGTATTTAACGTTCCTTATGCAAGCCGGGTGGCTTAACGAACGGAAATTTATTTTTATTTTTGTTCATCGATCATAAACAGTTCTTGACAATCTTCTCCAGGACTACAGCAAACCTTCCTGTGGAGAAAGGCATGCATTGATCCAGGGATGTTATGTTATGATTTTTTTTTAAATAGCATAAGCCGGTAAACGAGCAGACGGATCACCTGATGGTAAGCAATCGGCGTCGCCCATGCACACCCGGTCTCACCCGGAACACCAGAGGCGTTACAAGTGCGTTACCGGCCTTTTGGGGATTAGGAGTTTGAGGATCGTTGGGGATTCAGGAATTGGGGAGATTGGGTAAGGGGAGGATAAGAGCCTCTGGTAACCTCACTCACACGACGAAACACAACGCAAGCGTTGCTTCACGTCGGTTTTCTGTGAGGCCGTGGTATCACTCCGGTCGAGCCGGCCCATTCTAACCTATCTGTAATTTTGACACATTTTGTATGGAGCTTATGTCAAATTCTATCCCAGTACAAGTAAATCAACAGATAGATAGGTTAAAGAAAATGGCCGTAAGTGAAGCTTGCAAATAAAAATCAAGTTTACTTTAAAACCCAATACAAGTTTATTCACACAATATTCAATCTACGTCACACACGATCCCTTTATAGACAATTGAACACGGTGGGACCATCTTATATACAGGGACAGTATCTAGAATACACATTCTAAAAATAAAATACCTTATAACTAAATATATTACTTACAATTCTAAAATATTGCTTATAATGAAAGACTACGTATTTTTATCTAGGCTTTGTTATTATAATAGGTATTTGATAGACGCATTCAGCAACGTTTTGAGGAGCCCGCTTCTCATGCATGAGAGTGCGGGTTTGAAACCGCTAAAAGTAAGTACCAATGTGACTTTCCGAGATATATGTGTGTACTTTCTAAGATTCACAAAGACATCGTGAAGAAGCCTGGGCTTATAATCTTTATATATATAATTCTTCTGTGAGTGTGTATGTCACTGAACTTCTCTCAAACGACTGGACCGATTTTGATGAATTTTTTTGTGTGTGTTCAAGGGTATCTGGCAATGGTTTAGATTCACAAATCAGCCCGGCAGATGGCGCTGCATATAACCTAAACATCGAGTTTAGGTTATTTATCCTAAACAGCTGAACTAATTTGAATGAATTTTTGTTTATACATTCAAGTGGATATGCAGGACAATGTCTGTTGGGTCCGCTAGTTTCTATATAGAATAGAATCAGGCGTTCCTTTGCAGAAATCGATGCTGCACTAACAACTGGGAAAATATTTAGTTTTTATACCGCTGAAGGAATAAATTTGCAGCACGATTATGCAGCACCGCCCTCCTGCACGCAGATAAACGCTTATGTAGCAGAAATGCGACAGAAGGAGTTCTCCTGAGGATGCTCCGTGGAGGAGTGAAAATGTTGAGAGTGGGAGTCATGAATTTTGTGTCGTATAAGTTCGAAATCGCCAACCCGCATTGAGCTAGCGTAGTGAAAGTACTGAAAGTGTAAAAAGGTTAATTTTCTACAATCTATGGATGCATTATCAATATTGTATGGATATCACAACAGAGAAATCCTTACTAGTCCTTACTAATATTATAAATCTGAAAGTGAGTTTGTTTGTTTGCTTGTTTGTTTGTTCCACCTTCACGCCGTAACTACTCAACCGATTGCTTTGAATTTTTGCAGACGTAAAGTTAGAAGTCCGGATTAAATAATAGGGTACTTTTTAACCCGGAATAAATTGATATTCCCGAGGAAAAACAAAAGTATTGGTATAGATGGCGCTGTGTGTATTGGTATATGTCACATAGGCTTTTTATTCTTTTGTCACGCGAGCGAAGCCGCAGGTAAAAGCTAGTATTTTATGAAAATCAAACTGATGATGGAGTAATTTGTTTCGAAGAATGCAATAAAGCAATAGATTTAAATTTTTGTTGCAATGTGACAAAGTTTAAAATCTATTTGAACTTTAACAGATTGAATTACCTAAGTATATTTTCTGGCGTATTTGATTTAAAACAATGTGTCATGAACTGACTTTGTGCTGCTACTGAGACGACAACAGGTATCTTTATTTCTTGGTGTATAGGTTTTATTAAATATTTACTTATATATATTTAGTGTTCTTTTACATAATCCTTTTATCAACTATCGCCGTATTTTACTAACTGTTATTTAATGAAAGAGATAAATATCGTAATTTTTATACGCCAATGTAATGTTTGCTATCTCTTTTCTATATTCCTTGTTAGTAAAAGACAGCAATAAGTAAATGTTTTAAGACAAAATAGTGACCACAATCTCTACAAATTAGGCTAAGTCTAATAACACAGATTTTCCACACATATATAAAATTGAATATTTACAGTAAATTTAGAATAGGTCCTTAGAATTTATCCCTTCTACAATGTGAGTTATGTTTAGGTCATTAAAATTCTTTATATTACACTGAATATCGAAAATACTAAATAGGTCCTTTACATTTGATTATGACATTGATTATTATATTGGGAATTTACTTATATCAAAGAATGCTTTGCCTTATCCAACAAACTTTAATATTTTCGGTAAACTCAGCATATAAAAGACCTAAAACAATGATTGCCACACGATTTTCAACCTTAACGACCTATGATTTAGTTTTGATTTATGTATTTACAAACTAATCAATCATTGGTGTCAATTTTCCTTTTTCATCGTGATTTTTACATGATCCAATATCTACACATTTACAAATATTAAAAACTAGATGACTTTAGCAGGAATACTGAACGGCTACTCAATTTTAACTTGTACTTAAATATCGTGCCATCTCTGTTGTTTTACAAAGAATTTGAAGAGACAGAACTATATTTATGTGCGACTTAAAATTGGGTACAATTGCCAACTAGTCAAATTCAATAATTTTTTCGAACTGTCAATAACGACAGTTTTCTATGAATTTTGTACGAGATTGTGTATCGTGACGTCACGTTTTTTTAGCGTCAAACAGCATACTTATTTCTTAAAAAGTTACTGAAAAAAAATACTAAAATTAAGTTGGTTATAAAATCAATTAATTACAGTGCCAATTCTTTTAATATTTAATTGTATTGAACAGTCGAAATAATTTATTTTTTATTATGGCAAGTACCCAATTGAGTGGCGTTTGAGTATTTGTAGAATTGTGTAGTAAACTCTACCAGGAAATACATACTATCTTTGGTATCTGTGAGTGCTTCCACAAATCTAGTGTTGACGACGGAATATGAAAATTAAAAATCTATATAGATATTAAAAAATTAAAAATTAGACATTTATTTTTATTTTGTCGTCCAAGTTAACAATACGAACTTAAGCTTAGGATTGAACTGGGAGCTAGCTACGTCATTCCTAAGTAGGTGCCTAGAAGTGACGTCAGGCGATCTTTTTAATCCATATATCTTCGAAAGTTTTTGTCTAATGCTTTAAAATAATCCACCAGATGGTTTTATTCGTCATCTAATCAGAATTTTAGTCGTCATCCTTATTATAATAGGTACTAGGTAGGTAACTATTGTAGTATCTAATTTCGGTGTTAGTGTAAATGCATACTTATTCCTTTAGATTTAAAGTAGGTTATAGTATAAATATAAAACTATTAATATTGCCATTTTTATAACCTTAAATGTAGGACTGAAATGGCTTTATTTTGGACCTAAAGATATGTGATTTTCGGTTTAGTAAAAGTGAATATTAAAAATGTGTAAAATCTCTGTAGAGTCTAATTTTTACTAATGTCTACTGTAATTTCATGATCTAAGTTTTGTATTGTATATGTACTATTTAAAATTGAAAAACTTTCAGCTATTTTCACTTACAGTACAATCGTTAGGACAAAATTACCAACTAAATATTTTTACTTGTAAAATGATTTGAATAGGTACTTATTACGCGTTATCTTAAAAAGTGTTGTATATATAAATGTAGTTCATAAGTAATATTATTTTACTCCATGTACTAACAGCTTTCTGTTCTCTTGGTTTTATATGTTTCCTTAAGTCTACTTCCACCTTGATGTAATATGTTAGTTTCTGCTTTAAAATACAAGAGTAATCGCTTTATATGATGTACTTAAAGATAAATTATCCGACTATATTCACACAAATCTACAAAAAATCTAAGAAAATCTTTGGCACATATAATGGCACAGTATAATCAATATCTTACATAGTTCCTCTACTCCCTGGACGAAGGACCAGGTCGTGCATCCTCAGTGGATTTCCACCTGCTTTCTAAGACAGACTTCCCTTTGGCATCACGGCTGACATTCTGATGGCTGTACCGTCTCTGTTCTTCAAAAACCCTTGCAGTTATGTTGAACACGCTGTCAGCACTGGTCTTCCTTCGAGTGTCAAGGGTGCTCAGACTATTAGCAGCTGACGGTGCTATACGATGAGGGAACCTTGGAGACCCTTTGATCTTCTCACAGGAATTCTGATGAGACATCGGTCTTTGATGCGTCGTTGGTAGAACGAAGTTAACCTTTGTCTCAGGTTCAGCGATATATTTTTGCTGCAACGGTCTCGGAGGATCAGGATCATATGAACAAGAAGGTTCATCATCAGTCACTCGGATAATAGGACCACTTTTCGCGTAAGACTCTCTTCTTAGTTTTAGTTCTGGGTGGGGCACGTGAAGAGTGTTGCAGGATAAGACCATGGAATGTTTCCTGTTCCCTGGAACAAGTCCTGCTATCATACCTACGTGCATTTTGAGTGCTGCTGCTATACTGGCCCCTGTAGGATCCGCTATTGACATGGTAGATGCCTTTCTACTTGTAGGTCTACTGCTGCCGAAGAAACTCTTTATTCTACTGAGTAGACCAGTGTGTTCTTCTCTTTTGTTTAGGCAGAGATTATATAAGTCTATTGCTGGTTGGGACTTCCTGTAGTTAAGTTTTGGTTGTGAGCTGAAGCTGACGGAGTTTCGTCCTCGGAAGGCGTCGGTTGATGGCCAGCTGGCTCGTGGTATGACAGGTGGGAGGACGGATAGTAGTAGCATCGGTAGACCGCCGCTGATGCTCGGTGTGCGTCGGTCACCGTCTACGTGAGCCATGCCTTCTTCTTCAACGGTGTTTAGTTCAGTCTGGAAGGAAGACAAGCAGTTGTAAGAACACAGAGAAGAATATAATATTTCTGGCTCTTATGGTTATATCTAAAGGGAACAACTCATAAGATATTCCAATATGTTCCTCGTATGAAACAGCGAATCAGACTTACCCGTTTATGCAAAGACAGAGATGCATTCGACCCGCTTCCTGAGTCCAGGGGTTCAGCCAACAGCTTCTCCAGCCTTCCGATCTCCTTGTCCAGTGCTGCCACCTCTCTCTTATACACTCTGTTCTGTATCTCTATCCTGAAGTGAAGTTCTTGTGTTTCATCTGTCACAAATCTTCGTGTCTTACATTCTAGTCTTAGGCCCATGCTTTGTATTACTGGGTCTTCTTCAGCTGAAAAATAAAACCATGTTATTCGTAGCAGTAATTAGTCTCAGCTGAGGTTTAGTCACTCATTTGTGTTAGTAGCCGTAATTTAAGTATCCTACCAAAAGAAGTAATTGTGGTGTATCTTCTAGCAATTTGAACTCTTCGACTAAATAAAAAGGCTTCGAGATGAATCATATCTAATCGTCTGATTTCTGACTGGAAGTTTGTCATTTTACATTGTTTAGGGTATAATCACTTACCATTACTTCTAATAGCGACAATCTTCGGTAAAAACAGCAAACATAATGTAGACGTAGTAGTTATCAAAATCAAGCTTGTTATCGAGATATATGCCAGAGTAGCTCTCTCAGAGATGATAGTTCCAATAACCACCACACTGGCGCTGGTGATGACAACGGAGTACACACTGATTCCAATGTACTTGGAGTCGTTTAGAGCCGATATCTTGACGTTTCTGGTCTCCCAAGCCATGTAGACCCCTACGATGAGGAGCAGGCCTTTATAGGCGTAGAGGGCACAAAGCCATCCTGTTGTGTTTTGAGATTTGCAAACTTCTATCTGAAAGAGACATTGTAGATTATGTTAATTTTCGGCATGGTACTAAAGAAGGTTGTTTTTATATCGGAAGAAAGGTAATTTTAAAGTACCTACACTTTAAAATTTAAGTTGTAAATACATTTGTTATGTAGAAGCACGATGGGATTGACATCGTCACAATGTGTACAAAAATCCCTTGAAATAATTGAGATTAAAAAAAAATACACTTTAAAAAAATCCTAATTAGAGATTAGGTTATTCGACCAAATTGATTTTTCTTTAAAACGCAAAGATCACTACGATTTTGATTTTTTTAGACGACACGGCGGACGAAATTACTTCTTCTGGACTTTGTAAAATGTTTCTGTTTCCAATAACTTCCTTAAAAGCTCGTCTTACCTGAGGTTGGTAAATGACACTTCTGTCAGTCGTGCTGATCTCCGTTGTCAGGTTCTTGAGGTGCCTCTCCATGGGGTCCAGCATCGTCCATAGCGTGACTATCATACCATCGATGACCAGTAACGCACATACTAACGATATCAGCGGTGTGTCTTGCAGCAATTTTGTTTTACAGACACCACTCCGGTTGCTGGAAAAATTAAGGATATATACGAAGGTAGCATAGATGAGCTTCTAGAAATGTTTGTATTGTAACTTTCGTGAGACATACTAAATAAATTGACGAGGAACTCGACTAGTTTCAAGCCATTCTAGAGGCTCATATTCATGAGCAGCGTTTCGCGACCCGCGACGCGGTGACTGTCCTCGTCAAATTATTCCGTGAGTAAGCCGAAAACATAATAATTTACTTCTAGAAATGTATTTCAAAAAAGAAAGAAAGATATTTTGTATAGCCAGTTAGTTTTTATGCTACTTACCTTATAAATATTCTATGAACGCGGTACGTCTTCGCGAACATGGAACCAAAAGCCAAGGAGAACCCTGCCGACAGGATGTAGACTCTGCCCTGGAAGGAGATAGACGATACTTTCACTTGAAAATATACTTAAAAATCACTTATTGTAATCGCCGTAATCAACAAATAAGTCACAACGCATTTCTATTGAGTGATAAACTCTAAAAAGGTGGAATAACAGTCGGGTAAATATCGGTACAAATATTACAGATTTGTATGAATAATATATATAATAATTTTATGGATTGTCAATATGCATATGTGAGCACCATGTTAGACTTTAAGGTTATTATTTTTTTTAATTTTAGTAAATTATTAGTATAACGCGTCAAGCGTGTCTTTGCATTGTTCTTACATATGCGTACAGTATTGAAATAGGTATGTATCAGAGACATTGTAGAACATACTTTTTTTAAAAAGAGTAACGAATGGAATTTCTTCCTCGTTCTTCTCCATTCGAATCTACATTTTGGAATGAGCACCTAGCTTCACCTAGTTTCACTGAAGGACTGACTGACAGACTATAATTTATTTTGTATTTGTTGACGTTTCAAAAGTACCAAACTATGGTTTAATTGAAATAAATGCTTTGACTTTGAATAGTCTTTAAATCTTCTAAATGAACTTACAGTGCACATAGCAGAGAAGGGCACGTAAGAAGGTAGGGTCGCATTGTCGACACCTAGCAGTGCCACCGCTGTATACACTAACACGCAGCCGATCAGCGTCATGTTGTTTAGACGAGGAGATGACAACTTTATTGATCTGAAAATATGGGTTAATAGACTAGATAAGTAACTACTTAATGTAGTTTTTTTTAAGGGGGGAAAATCATCGAATGTCTGCTCCCGCCTGGGTGAGGCGGGAGGGAGTGTCAGACTCTTACTGACTAAAAACCACCTCGTTCCCTCTCCTGCACGTCGAGCTTGAGCCCCGGTAACCCGTTAGGTTCTCCGCGCCTCCGAATCGGTATCAGCTCTAAGTCAATCGCTTTAAAGTGTGGGAGTCTTTTATGTGTGGCTCTCCGCCATGCTTCGGCACGAATGGGCTGGTTCGACCGAAGTGCTCACAGAAAACCGACGTGAAGCAACGCTTGCGTTGTGTTTCGTCGTGTGAGTCAGTTTACCGGAGGCCTAATCCCCCCCCCCTTCCCCAATCCCCAACAGTCCTCAAACTCCTAATCTCCAAAAGGCCGGTAACGCGCTTTTAACGCCTCTGATCTTCCAGGTGTCCATGGGCGACGCCGATACTTACCATCAGGTGATCCGCTCGATTACGGGCTTATCCCTTAAAAAAAATACAGTCATAGTAAGTAGGCTAACTGACCAAAAGAACTCACCTTCGTTTACTATAATGCAAGTTGAACACTAGGAAGGCTAGAGCTAAGGCAACACCCAATGCAGCAAGGGCAGCAACTGCAAGCCTAGCGGGAGGCCACACGGAGTCCACTCTAAGGACCAGCACCCTTCGAGCTGCTGGAACACCTCCAGCCCATTGGGGCCGAGCGCATTCAGTACAGGTCATCTCCCTCCCATGGGTGTATAGGGCTACTGTCTTTGGTCTACCACCTGGAAAACAATAGGAGCTTAGTATAGGACTTAACTACGCATTTTTTTAAGCGTTGCCCCCTCCCCCCACATTAGGATTTTCTCCTGTGTCGTGGGTGCGATTACAAAAACATATAAGTTCACATACACATTGTGCCGTTATAAAGACATTAAACCATATTAAGAATTACGATATGTATCTGTTAATTACTATCTTATATTGAGGAAAAATAAGCAATACTCAGAAATATGTTAGTGGTAATTAAATAACTAAAAAGGTACCTTGAATTTGATAGAAAGCAGACGTGCCTATCCTGTCAGCTCCATTGAATGAGACGGGACCCTGGAAATATCAAAATGTAATTAGAAATATACATTCGAAATAGTTCTTATTAAAAATCGTAAATATCGTCTTTATAGGCATATATCTATAAAGACGATATTTCTTTATAAGTCATCATAAAAGTCTTTATAGGTATATACCCATAAAGACGATATCTTTTAATATCATATACCGCTTCACGTAGAATTATACATAACCAATTTATCTTGGTCTTGCTTTATATGATGCTTCGATACATTGCACGATCAGTTTATACTAGATTCGTATAGTTTTATGTGTCGCAGTCTGTACATAAATTATCAGAAGCTACGAACTACGACAGTAATGAATTTAAAATTCGATTACCGTATCGAATAAAACATGGATAGAATGTGTGACCACTGAAATCAAAGTGTAACTCAAGAAGAGAGACAATATAATTACAACCGTATACTAAAACACATAAGGCAGTTTCTGATTTGCCATCGTAATAATCGTACAATTTGAAAAAAGAACGGACGATGTAATTACGATCTTATTCTAAAATACATAAGGTGAGAAGTTAGTAAGACTTGTCTTATGGAAATTCTCAGAACTTTGATCGTCAAATTAACCTTAGGCGGTAGTGGGCGTTTTGTATAACATAATATTCAAGTAAATATATAGGTATAATTATTAACAATTCACTAATTCCAAACTTGTTATCGACATCTGTTCCTGAATATTCAAATGTATGTTAATTTCGTTTCACTCCATATGCCGGCAGTAATTTATTTGACGTAGGTAATCCTGTAAATGCGTCTGGTAATTTGACATTAATTTGTGATATTTCGAATAGATTTGGTTCCAGTATTTATTGCACGCACGGAATATATAGAATACAATGGAAGTAGCTTGAAACAATATTTCTGCCAGAACCGGTGTCGCCAAACTAATACATTTATAATTTACTCATACTATAAATCGGAAGTTACGATTAGTTAGAAAAAAAATGGGCGTAAACGAAATGCAAAAAAAATATCATACGATATGCAACTTTAAAATCAATGCACTATAAATCAAAATAAAAAAGTATATTTTGGACTACCAAGTACCGCCATTCGTCGCTAGATGGCGTTTAACAATGCCATCTAGCGACGAAAAGTGGTACTTGGTTTGAACTTTAACGTCATAAGAATAAAGGTGATATTTGAATGGCTTATCACTGGCTCGAATGCGGGTCTCTACTCAGATAGTGATGTAGCCTAATTCGATAAAAATAATATCGATAATAAGAAAATGTGTTTTAAAAATAATGTGAAAAAAAATATTGACTGCGATAGTGTGACTGCGATAGTAAAATAATACAATTAATATGTTGTTGATAACTTTTTAAACGTAACAAAAAAGGGTAAGTATTTATTTGCATGAAAATTAAAAATCATTTTGTTCGTATTTTTTATTAGTTTATTTTTTCAAAAAAACATATTTTTTATTTCACATAGGCAATATAATGTAACAACTATTACATAAATTTTTACAAACTTTATATGGATAATGTGATAAATGAGAGGGATGGCGATAAGGATGACGGTGCTGATCTGCTCCGTGAAGTGAAGGTTGCTTCCAATCACGTCGGGGTCACCACTAAAATAATAATAAAAAATAATCTAAATAAATGTTACATTACACTTGCATCGATATCAATCGATAAATTCAATATGTGATTTGACTACATCACTATTTGAGTTTTTTTTTTTTTTTTTTTTTTTTTTAAGGGGGGAAAATCATCGAATGACTGCTCCCGCCTGGGTGAGGCGGAAGGGAGTGTCAGACTCTTACTGACTAAAAACCACCCCGTTCCTTCTCCTGCACGTCGAGCCGGAGCCCCGGTTACCCGTTAGGTTCTCCGCGACTCCGAATCGGCATCGGCCCTATTGGGCCCCATCTGTGGTGGTCTGATGGCTCTTTGAGGCGCGCGCGGAACGCGACGCGCCGTACGCTCGGGTCTGTTTCTGGTCGGACGGGGAGCCACCCATGCTCGCCGTCCGCAGGCCCGCGCTTACGGTGGCCGGAGATCGTCCCGCGATCCCCGACGCCCGGTGTGTCCTTCGCGATGGCTGGGTCGCGAGGAGGCAGCGCTTCGCTGCCTCACGCGTCCCGCCTCCTCCTTAGCTAGCATGACTGCTTCGCAAAAGGAGGAGACGGCATCCCAGTCCCCCTCGCTCCGCATCATGGCCTGCACTAGGCCCGGACGCGAGAGGTCGCCATCGCCGATCACTTCCCTGAGGGCACGGCGGTGCTCAGCCCACGCAGGGCATTCCGCTACGGTGTGTTCCACCGTGTCCTCAGGGCGGTCCTCGCAGTGATGACACCCGGGCGTTTCCTCCCGCCCCATCAGACACAGGTACCTCCCGAAACTTCCATGTCCGGTGAGGACCTGCGTCAGGCGGTAGGTGAGGACGCCGTAGCGTCTCTCAAGCCACTCCTCAAAGAGGGGACTTACCGCTGCAATGGCAGCGAGCCCAGCCCTCGGTTGCGACAGTCGTTGCTGCCATTCCGCCATGAGATCGCGCCGGAGCTCATCCCGCCACGCACTTATCTGGCGCGGCAGCGGAGTTTCGCCCCGGCGACGTGCCTCCGCGCGCATGTTATACACGCGCGCGAGCACCTTCGCCTCCAGATCCCACGGCGGTAATCCGGCAAGGAGGTTCGCCGACTCCCCAGCGATCGTGCGGTATCCGCGGATCATTCGGATCGCCATGACCCTCTGTGACTTGAGCAGCGTCCGAGCAGGACGCCGCAACAAGTTCGGCGCCCAAACAGGGGCGCCGTAGAGGGCCATGGACCGCACGACCCCGGCGTATAACCTCCGGCAGGAGGCGTTTGGCCCCCCGAGGTTGGGGAGGATGCGTTTGAACGCAGCCCCCGTCCTCTCCAACTTTGGAGCCAAACGTCGGAAATGCTCTATGAAGTTCCACCGACTGTCGAGGACGAGTCCTAGGTACTTCATCGCCGTCTCGACGCCGATGGTAACCCCTCCCGCCGTTATTTGGGACCCACCCGGAGGTGGCGCGTTCCCGCGGCCATGAAAACACATGGCCTCGGACTTGTGGAGCGCCACCTCGAGTCCCAACTGCCGGATTCTTTCAACGACTGTCGCAACCGCTGTCGCCATTAAGTCGGCCGCCGCCTGGTGCGACCTCCCGTGCGCTAGCACCAGCGTGTCGTCGGCGTAGCATATTGTGCTAACGCCGTTCGGGAGGTCGGTGCGCAGCACCCAGTCATAGCCGATGTTCCACAGGAGCGGCCCCAGAACCGAACCCTGTGGAACACCGCGTGACATCTCTCGCCGGTTCCACTCGCCCCGGTGACCGGGGTAGCTGACGGACCTGTCCGTCAGGTAAGCCTCGATTACACGACGGAGGTAGGTAGGCACCCGATGATATCGGAGTGCCTCCAAGATGCAGCTCCAGGGCAGGGAGTTGAAGGCGTTGGCGATGTCCAGAGACACCGCCACTACGACCTTACCCCTGGACACTGCAGTCCCCGTCGTGAGGTCTCTAACGCGCATGATGGCGTCCACCGTGGAGCGCCCTCTGCGGAAGCCGAACTGGCCGTCCGACAAGTCCGGCCCAATGTCCGTCAGGTGCGCGACGAGGCGGTTCGAAATGATTCTTTCGAAGACTTTCCCCACCTCGTCGAGCAGCACTATGGGCCGGTACGCGGACGGAGAGTCCGCAGGGCGCCCCGTCTTCCGCACGAGGACCAGTTTGCCCGCTTTCCAGAGAAGCGGGAACTGGCCTCTCTCCAGACATGCGCTGTAGAGACCAATCAATCGAGGCCCGAGAGCCTCTGAGGCCAGGACCCATGCCTTGCCATGCAGGCCGTCGGGTCCTGGGGCGGTGTTCTTGGCGCCCATCCGGCGCACCGCCGCTCTCAATTCTGCCTCGGTCACCTCTGGGACGATGTCATCGTCGTCGTCGTCGCTGTAGCCCGCGTCGGGCACCGCAGGGGGCGGAGTCATATACGGAGGGGTGAAGCCCCTCCACAGTCGGGGGAACAGGGCGCCAATCACCTCCTCCAAGACTTCTGGCCGGAGACTCTGAGTGAGCGGGGGAGCCCAAGCACGGAGCTTGTCGCGTACCATCAGGTACGGGCGTCCCCACGGGTCTCTATTCAGAGTCCCCAGCATCTCTCGGCGGGCCTCCTCCTTGGCCCGCAATATCTCCGCCTTGAGGAGGGCCTTCGCCGCCCTGTATCCCTCGTATAACTCCGCCTCTCTCGCCTCCGCATTAGGAGGACGGATACGGCGCCTGCGGTGCCTAGTGTACTGGCGTCGCGCAGTAGTGCACGCCTTGCGCAGAGCCGCCAGCTCTTGCGACCACCAGTACACCTGGCGCTTCTGTTGCCTCGACCGGATCCGGGGCATCGCCACGTCACAGATCCTGGACATGGCGTCCTGGAGCCACTTGGCCTCATCGTCAACGTCGGCAGGCCTGACCGGTGGTATCACCCAGGCCTGCACGATGGCGGCTTCCAGGAGCAGCTCCCGGTCCAGCTGTTTCAGCGCCCAACGCGGGCCACATGGGGCCTGTCTGACCGGCGGGTCTGCGGACTCGGCGGAGACGTCGAACCGGATATACCGGTGGTCGGAGTACGTCTCCACCTCCTCCATGACGCGCCAGCCAACAATACGCGGTGACAGAGCAGGGCTGGCGAACGAAATGTCCACCACCGACTCGCCCTGCATCCGCACACACGTGGGGACAGAACCCCGGTTCAGGACGACTAGGCCTGTCTCAAGGGCCCAGTCTTCCACCATCCTACCCCGGACGTCGGTGAACCGGGAACCCCAAGCCAAGTTTTTGGCGTTGAAGTCCCCGAGGACGAGCACGGGGAGGGAACGGAACCCGACGACGACAGTGACCAACTCCCTCAAGGAGTTGTGGAACTCGGCGAGAGTTCGGTTCGGAGAGAAGTACACGCCCACCACAGCGAGCTCTCCGAACCGTGCTGCGACACAACCCCGGCCTCTTTGAGCAGCCTCAAGAGTCGGGGTACCGGCGGCGGCCGACGAGATGATGGTCACCGAGCCGTCCAGGTCCGCCACCCAGTGATCCCTGGGCAGGACAAAGTACGGCTCGGAGACCACGGCGACATTGATCGACCACTGCGCCATGCTCTGGAGCAGGAGATCCTGAGCAGCGGCGCAGCGGTTGATGTTCGCCTGGAGGAGGCGGAATGGGGCCATTATTGGCAGTCCATTCCGATCTCCTCAGTGGCGGCAGCGGCGACTGCGGTGGCAGTGGCGGCGGCGGCGGCGGGGAAACGGCAGGGGCGGCGGAGGGCCTGCCTTTGCCCTTGGGTTTGGCGGGAGGGGAGCAGCCTTTGCTCCCGACCCGGTGATTGGCCGGCTTGCCAGCCGCCGCACATGCATTGCAGTGCAGCGGGGCGTTGCACGAGCCGGCCTTGTGACCGGGCCGACCGCAGCGGAAGCAACAGTCGCTGCGGTCCACCTCCGAGGTGCATTTGACACTCACGTGCTCCCCCACGTGACAGCGGTAGCACCTCAGAGGCCGGGTCTCGAGCAGCTTGACCTGCGCCGAGACCCATCCCACCAAGAGCCTTTTGCCCTCCTTCTTCTTGGCCGCTGTGACGGGGCAGCTGACCACAACAGTGCGCAGCCCCGAGTTGTCCGGGCGGATGGCGCCTGCCTTAACTTGGTCAGCAGGGCACCCTCCCGTCCTGGCCACAGCGGCCACCACCTCACTCTCCGTACGGAGTCGTCCAGGCCCAAGATCCTGACATCCAGGCATTTGGTTGGCCTGGACACGCGGGCCTCGTCCGCACCGAGGCACGCCCTAAGCCTCTCGGCCAGGGCGTCGGCCGATGGGCCGCTGGTCGCGCCGGGGACCTCCAAAAGACGGGCTCCGGTAGCGGTCACCTTGACCGCGAACCCGTCTGGCGCCCCGAACTCCGCAGGAGATACCGCCCCCTTCAATTTGGCGAGGACGTCGCCGTAAGTGACGCCCCTATTGACCGCCTCGGGCTGCAGCTGCGTAATCACTACAGCCGCGGTCTTAGGGGCGAGGAGCAAGGCAGCAGCGCGTTTCTCCCTGCGCTGCTGCTGCCGTCGCTGCCGCTGCGCCTTCTTGCGGCGCTTCCGGCCCTCCCTGGCGACTCTCTCGCCTCGCCGGCGATTTGCCACCCGCCGCCGTCCTCCGCTCGCGGGGCGGGTTCCACCACCGCTGCCGCAACTCCAGCCTGCCGGGCTGGAGCGCCTCTCCTCTCCTTGCGCCCTGCGGGCGCTGGCGCCGTCGGCGCAGCTGGGGTCTGCGCCGGCAGGGCGCCGAGGCCCTCGCTGGGGCAGCCGGTCGCGCCCTTGCCGGCGGTTGGGAGCTGCGGCTAGCCTGACCCGAGGTCGAAGGCTTGGCCGCAGCGGCCGCGTACGACCGCGGGACCGCGGGGGCGACCTGACTCGCCGCGAGTGGGGGGCGCAAGAGCCTGCCCTCCAGCACGTCGAAACGTCGCTGGAAGGCAGCCAACTCCGCCCGCAGCAGTCCGACTACGTCGGCCTCCGCCGGGGGCTGGGGGCGACTGCCGCGAGCAGCGGCGAGCTCGGCCCTGGCCGTCCGCAGCTCGGCCTCCAGAGCCGCATTGGAGGCTGCCAAGCGCGCCAGCTCTCGCCGCATCTCGGCCAGCTCGGAGCGCACCTTTCCCGCAGTGGGCACCGCACACTGCTCCAAGGCCGCCTCCGTTATTGTGGCCGCCGCCGCCCTGAGGAGGCGGAGCCTAACCGGCTGGGATTTCCCCATCGCCAGCTTGTAGAGCTCCGCCGTAATGGCCTGTTGGAGGCCCCCGGAGCAGCTCTCGCTCTCAGAGCCGCGCTCGCCCTCCGACATCTCCACGCCGGACATCTCGGCCGCAGAGGACTCCGAGCGGGCAGCACTTGAGAGAGCCCTGCCCTCCGCGGCCAGCCGCTCGGCTGACTCCGCGCAGGCAGCTGGTGCCGGTTTCCGGCGACCGCTGCCCTTGCCGCCCCTACCCCGCGCTGCCGTGGGGACCTTGGGGGGAGGCGCCTCCTGAGCGCCGGAGGACGGGGACAAACTGTCCTCCTCCAGCCTGGGGCGCTTGAACGTCCCCGTCGCGCGGCGGCGTGAGCCTTTCGAGCTCACGCTCAGCCGCTCCGCCAATGTTGTGTCGGACTCTGAGTCCGACCCCCTTCTATTAGACTCCCGTGTGTGGGGCCTGCTGGACGAGTCCAGCGCCTCACCACGAGTCCCGGAGCCACTTGGGCTCCCTTCTCCTGCTACTGCAGGCGAGCCAAGCTCACCCGCACTCTCCTCCTCCGGTTGTGTGGTTTTTTTTAATTGTTGTTCAACTCCATAAAGTTCCCACGAGTATGGGGGAAATATTCGGTCCACCCAGGCAGTGCCCCCTGTACCTGGGTAAGTGTTAATTTGTTTCCCAACTAGAGGTTCCACTGGTCCCCTAGCTGGGGGTGCGCTCGCGACTGACACTACTCCTCAGCCATGCATACTCTCGCCGCGCACCAGAACTTAGTATTGGAGGAATTTTTTATAGAGGTTATCTTCCTCGCGGTCCGGGCGACCAAGCCAAGACCCTCGTCCCGTTCAGAGTCACAAAACATGACCGTGATCTCCTTACGGATTACGATATCGACGGCTGCAATCGGGGACAGCTTGTGTCCCGATGCTGCTCGCTGGCAGGGTGAGTGCACAACGAGCACCGCCTTTGCCTCTCCGCCACGCTCTCTGCTATATCCAGAGAGACGGGCGGAGAAACACCCCTCGGAAGCGCGGGCTATGAGCCTCCGCACACAGCCCGCCGCCTCCAGAACCCTATCGGGTTCGCCCGCCCAGTCCAGAAGTCTGCTGCGGGCGACAGTCACTCCAACCCTATCACCCCCGCTAGGGAGACTGTCGCCCGCACCCAGGGTGCACCACGGGGAGGTCTTCTGGCACCGCACCCCATCACTATTTGAGTAGCGTAGAACTGGCGAGAATGTTCTATTGAATGGAATAAATCCAAAATAAACTTTATCTTGAAGGAAGGTTGATTTTGACTAACCGTTTTAGTAAATAATATTATTTTAATAACCGTTTTTGTAAATTTAAATAAATAATAGATTAATACATGAAAACAATGAAAATTGTACTTACCGATGATACGAAACACCTCTATTTTTACGATTTTTCGGCTGCTATCAATTTTACACGCCAAAACGGAACAAAACGGCATAGTTGAGGAAATATGTATTTGTCACGAGACTAGAAACTCGACGCCATATTCGAACGAGACTGAACTCGAATTTGCCTCGAGTACGCAGTACACGGCTCAGTTGTGGCACGCGTGCCACGCCTACTTGCTACTTCCATTGTATTCTATATTCCGTGATTGCACGTGTTCAATTCACGTATTCCGAAAATTTCTAGGTTTTAATTTTAATACTTTAGCTCACAACGACAAGCCCGCTCAACAGCTAGGGTAGAAAAATTAAAAATCGAATTAGTCCGTCCGGAGTCTGGAATTGTGCTTGGTACCTCTATATGGCAATAGGCTCACCCCTTTAACATGGGACTCATAACAAAAATAGTGAAAAATGGCTGTTACATTGTACAGTGGCATTAAGTGCCGAAATGTGCACCTTTGGCTACCCCTCCAGGGATAAAAGGCATAATGATGTTGTAATTTGTTAAACTACTCGATAGTTGGGCTGTACAAACAATGTAACTTCTTTTTTTGAACATTTCTAAATGGAAAGAATCTACATTATACTAAACTAGCGACCCGCCCCAGCTTTGCACGGGTGCAATATGCATGTATTATACATATAAACCTTCCTTAAAAATAACCCTTTCTATTAAAAAAACCGCATCAAAATCCGTTTCGTCGTTTTAAAGATCTAAGCATACATAGGCATAGACAGACGGCGGCTAGCGACTTTGTTTTATACTATGTAGTGATAACAACATCAAAAAGTAAAGTCAAAATGGAAATTACCGAAACTCCAACAAAACTGAGGTTCGCGAGCTGGTCCAAGAACTCCTTCGCCATATCCTGTCTATCATAATCAAAATGGCTGAGTCCAAGTCTTGTAGCATTCGTTCCATTACTGCTCTGGTCACCCAGAGACCTCCAGAGTTGTTCTGCTTTGCTTAACGCTAGGGCTATGGCCCAAACTGCATCATACGTTTGTGGAGCGTAGGGGGAGACTGCAACTCCGGCCGCTTCCATTTCTCGGTGGAACTTTTCATTGGTCTGTGGAAAAAAAGTTTTATTAGAGTTTGTAGTCTTTATTAGTCGGTGTTTATTGGTCTTTTTGTGCATCACCCTGTTGAAATATGGTACCTCAAATTTGTTCATACAAAAGTAGTCTCTAAACATCGGTAATAAGGTTTATAATGTAGTTCATGGAGAGCGGTCACCGGTGACCGCTTGGGTATCAAAGGGAGTGCTGAAACTCAGCGCAGTGACTCAAGCTTTTACCATGTATTTATTGTTTTTTTTTACTATTTCATTGTAACTTTATTGTATTACAGTGTAAATAAGAGTTTTGAGGTCATATCCTTTTATGCCATGTTGGCCGAGTGTTCGCAAGTACGACTGCTGGGCAAGAGGTCTCGGAATCGATTCCCGGGTCAGGCAAAGTATGACTGGGTTTAAAAAAATCTCAGTAGTAGCAGGGAGTCTGGAATTGTGCCCGGTATATGGCAATAGGCTCACCCCCTATTACACGGGACGCATAACATAAGTAGTGAAAAGTGGGTATTACATTGTACAGTGACATTAAGTGCCGTAATGTGTACCTCTGTACCCTTCGGAAATAAAAGACGTGATGTTATGTTATGCTAGTAGTCGAGAATGAAAGCGTGCTTTAGGATAAGCAACGTCTCTTAATAAAATTACTGTGATCCATCCAGTTACTTCAGTTTCATCAGAACCTTAACTTGTTGCCCTGGCTTATACAAAGTTCTGTAAACATAAATGATTTAACTCTGGCCTTCCGATGTGCTAACCACTACAATTAGTGCTTGTGGTTTAACGACCTGATTAGTCTGACCTAGGTATAGTGTGGGTTACAAATGATTTACTAATAATACTGTGTCTAATAACAAAATGGTTTTTATTATTCGTACTAGCTACTTCCACGCGGTTTCACACGCTATATATAGCCATAGCCATAGCTTATAGCCATCCTCGATATATGCGTTATCTAACACAAAAAGAATTATTCAAATCAGACTTGTTGTTTCGGAGATTAGTGCGTTTAAACAAACAAACAGAAAAACAAAGTCTTCCGCTTTAAATAATAGTATAAGATTATAACACAATAGCTCATGTTTTTATAATAACTACTATTAACTAAAAATTGCGGGTTACTCACGTGAATAAACGGAGAAAAGTTCCTCGTAAGCAGCGTACGCGGAACATTATGTTCTATGGCCGCGGCTATGTCGCGCAGCCTACAGCCGCCGCCTATAGGATGCGCGATATCGTGCGCTTTTTTTTAAAAGAAGAGTCCCATTTATTATGAAACAAATCTTTTATTCAATAGCGAGCTCAGTTCTAGATCCTGGGCCGTTAAAAGCCTGCCTGCCCGAGAAATAGCGGAGACTCCTGTCCCAACAGTAGCGTTTTATAGCTACCGCCACTTAACCAAAGACACCGTCAATATTAATATAATGTCGATTGAGAATAAACGAAATATATATAAAATAACATCACGCCTTTTATCCCCGAAGGGGTAGGCAGAGGTGCACATTACGACACTTAATGCCACTGTACAATGTAACATCCACTTTTCACTATTTATGTTATGAGTCCCTTGTAATAGGTGAGCCTATTGCTATATATCGGGCATATATCCAGACTCCATGCTACTACTAAGATTTTTAAAAAACCCAGTAATACTTTGCCCGATCCGATAATCGATCCCGAGACCCCTTGTCGAGTCGGAAATGTAACCATTCAGCCAAATGAGGCAGTCAACAATGCGTTTGAGAAAATCTATAATGAGATTCACAATAACTCTCCTTCAGACAGTTGGGTAAGAAGTGTACTTAATACAGAATATTTTCATTGGCCACTATCAGGTGGAATGCAATGAATAAAGCATTACTCGACGGAGAATACGTCTTTGTGTCAGCTGTATATCTTCGTGATGTAGGAACACGGATAAATAAAATATCACAGCTTACGGCAGCAAATGGTTATTTCGGGGGAATCTGTGCTAGCTTGCCGTATAGTGAATTAGGTATCTAAGTGGTTTTTTGAATATAGACGATATAAATACTGGTTTCCTTTCTCAAACTTGGCTCTTCTGTATCGTAGTTTCGTTTTCAAACACTAATACACTATAATTATCGTTCATGTAATCGCATATCACACGCATGACGATTACTAGACGAAAGCTTGCATCTTGCGGCGAAACAAAACTGTGTCTACTCTGCGTCATTGGACGAATGCATGTAATCTGCGTGGACACAGTTGTAATTCTCTATATCCAAGATGCAAGCATTTAAAAGTTTCGTCTTGAAATCATCATGCAATCGTCAATTGACGAAAGCGTGCAGTTACGTGGACAGTAGGCGAGGGCCTGCGGACGGCGAGCATGGGTGGCTCCCTGTCCGACCAGAAACAGATTGAGCGTACGGCGCGTCGCTGGTGCGCAAAGTGCGCAATATGCATATTACTGTCAGATGCGGAAGAACATTTTTAAACGTGGAAGAGCCATGCTTCGGCACGAATGGGCCGGCTCGACTGGAGTGATACCACGGCCTCACAGAAAACAGACGTGAGGCAACACTTGCGTTGTGTTTCGTCGTGTGAGTGAGGTTATCGGAGGCCCATTTACCCCACATAGTCTCCCGTATCTCCGAATCCTCCACAATCCTCAAATTCCCAAAAGACCGGTAACGCACTTGAAACGCCTTGGTGTTTCGAGTGTCCATGGGCGGCGCCGATTGCTTACCATCAGGTGATCCGTCTGCTAGTTTACCGACTTATACTATAAAAAAACAATTTATAGATGCCTCAAAGAATTGTTCGGTACGAAAATTGAACTCGTGACACATTGCTTAGAAGCATGTTACATTTCCACCGAGTATCTAACATCATAAACGCATATCGAAATAGACAACTGACTTCAAAAGATATTTGGACCTTTGTAGTTGTTTCGATGTATCTTCTCAAAGTTAGATAGAGAATACCAACTTGATATAGCTAGAATATTGACGTGAAAGTGCTACTGTGTAGAATCACTGTGTACTGTGTACTTACAGAAATAAAAATTCATGATTTTTTTGCTTCTTTTTTATACTTAACTAGTTTCTGCTAGCGGTTTCACCCGCGTCGCCGTGTAAAAATGTAAAAATGTACCCTATGTGTAGACCCTAACCTATGTTTCAAATTTTATCCCGATCCCTGCAATCGTTTTGATGTGAAGGAGCGACATACAAACTTTCACAATTGTAATACTAGCTACTTTCGTTCGGTTTCACACGCTCTGCTCAGCTCCTATTGGTCGCAGCGTGATGTTTTAGCCTATAGCCATCCTCGATAATTGTCAAAATCTAACATCAATCCATCCAACACAAAAATAATTATTGAAATCAGACTTTTAGTTACGGAGATTAGCGCGTTCAAAAAAACAAACAAAAAAAACAAACTCTTCCGCTTTATATAATAGTATAAGATTAGTAGCAAGCGATAATGTGACCGACTATGAACTACGAAAAATCAGACTAAGTAACTATCAGCGGCTCTATGAATAATAGTGATGGACTACGCCTGGAAGTCAAGTCCATCCCTGCATTACAATGCAGATATGTATCAGTACATTCCGTGTTCAGCTCCCGGCGATGTTGAATTTTGCATTCATTATACGATTCAGTCTCTTTTCGAATGAACGAACGAGTGAATAATAAATACTCGTACGTCATTCAATTAAAGTGGCGTTTGTACAAGAGCATTATGCTATATGTTCCAATTTTATTATCCTTAAAATTTTATTTTGAGTCTTTTATTTGAAAACATATTATTTTCGTTGTAGTTTTAAAATGCTGAGCAAATAATTGTTTTCGTTTGTGGATACTTTCGTATTTTTATTTCATTTTAATTATGATCTACATCTTTTTTCTACATCTGGATATTCGTCGGCAGATATCTATAATTTCTTTTTGTTAATTCCCAAGATATCTAGTATCTACACCTATTTTTAACATCTAATCTGAGTGATTCATAGCAAATTTATAGCTCCATGCTACTTACTATGAACACTGGAGTTAAAAAAAGAGGAACAAACTTAAGATCAACAACATTTGAAAAAGTTCTCAATACTTACCAACCCAGAAATAGAAGCAGCGTCTCCAACGATGCCTCTGTGCGCAGTCACGGTGACCAAGCCTTCGAGCGCACGCGCAAGCTGTGGGCGGGCACAGGGCGGGGCGCCGCGGATGCGCGGGGGCATGCCTGATACTAGCCAGGCATACTCCGCGCCGAACATGCCCAGTCTGAACGCCTGCGATCTCAGAAATACCACACACTTACTACCGAAGGCTGAGAGACATTAATTTTATAGAAGTTGTTGCATATACGTCGAAACAAATTAAAAAAAAAGTGGGGTTGAGGAAAAAGAATAGTACGTTGTGTTTTTATAATAACTATCGTGAGACATACTAAATTAACTAAAAGTCGCGGGTTACTCACGTGAATATACTGAGAAAAGCTCTACTAGTACTGACAGTAGGCTGCGTGACATCGCCGCGACTGCGCACGCTGCTTATGAGGACGAACCCCTCTGTGGTTCGAAACTAGAAGAGCTTTTCTCAGTATATTCACGTGAGTAACGAAGAACATAACCTATGCTATATCACGCGAGATGTCCTTCATGTCAATGTGTGTGTATTCTGCGTGTAAGTGTATAGTAGCCAGGTGCCACAGTCGGTGTTTCAAGAGACTGTGTCTGCCTTTTTTCAACGTTCTTGTTATGAAGCATAAAACTTCAATTTTAATTAGACCTTGTCAAGTGAATGTGAATTTTTAATCTATATATGTAGACAAGAGGTTGATATGTGCTGCTAATTGTGGAAGTGGTAAGATCGATGGGTCTCTTGAACTCGATGATAACTCAGCACCCAAAATAAGATGTGTTCCACGATAAGTCGTCATTATGTCATAAGTAAATTAATGTATAAGGTTTTAAATATAAATCTTAATAATATAGGAACTATCTAACTAATTAATATTGTAATAGGTTTAAGTTTCTTTTTTGTATCCTAGAATGTAAGTATATGGGTCTCGCTGTAAACTTGCGTTTTAATGTAAATAAATAAAGTGTAAGTTCTCAAATTAGGTACTTAAAATATTTATTGTTTATCTTAAATCCGACTCACCTCACAGAATATTTTCGGTATCATCTCCTGTGAGAAGCTGCCGATGATGATACGGGTGTCCAGCTCCTGGTCACAAATAAACGAGACAAATGATAATCTTCTTCGATGTATAATAAATAAACAAATAAATAAAATCTTTATTCATTATAAGAAATTGGTCATATTGCAGATAAACATCTTAATTTAAAATCAGAGATCACACTAGGTTTAATGTTATACATTACGAAGGATTAATTATATTCATAAGTGGGGAAATAAAGATTAAGTCATCATATTTCATATATGCACCTAAACAGAGACTAAATATGGTGAATTTTGTAAATAGTGATGATGAAATCACTCACGGACTTTTTTTTTAAGGAGGGAGAAATCATCGACTGACTGCTCCCACCTGTGTGAGGCGGAAAAGAGTGTCAGACTCTTACTGACTAAAAACTATCCCGTTCCTTCTCCTGCACGTCGAGCTGGAGCCCCGGTAACCCGTTAGGTTCTCCGCGACTCCGAATCGGCATCAGCCCTGTTGGGCCCTATCCGGGGTGGTCTGATGGCTCTTTGACGCGCGCGCGGAACGCGACGCGCCGTAAGCTCAATCTGTTTCTGGTCGGACGGGGAGCCACCCATGCTCGCCGTCCGCAGGCCCGCGCTTGCGGTGACCGGAGATCGTCCCGCGATCCCCGACGCCCGGAGTATCTAACTCACTCACGGATAGGTAGTGAAAAATCGATGTTACAGCATAATGTTTCGCTTTTTGTTTCGAAGAATGAAAAGTGTGCATTGGTTAAAAACCCCTTAGGAATGAAATGAAAGGTATATATTTAGGAGTACAAAGACGAGAGATTTTTGCCGTCTCCTTTGGGAATATAGCGTGATCATATATCAAGTGCGAATCGTTCAATGTCAGAGCTCTTCATACAAGACAGTAAAGGTATAATCATTTTCAATTTGATATGACATACCACAAAGAGAGCAAAGTAGAAACTTGTGTAACTGATATTTTTGTGTTACTAGTTGTGTTACTAGTTCTTATGTGCCTTGGTGGGGATGTGTGGTTTGAATTATTATAAGGAAGTGTTTAGTCGGACTTCGTTCATAGTTTTTCTTTATAGAAGTACCTCTAGAATTTTGACTACCTTGTTGGCTGAGTGGTCGCAAGTGCGACTGCCGGGCAAGGGGTCTCGGGTTTCATTCCCGGGGTCAGGCAAAAAATTACTAGGTTTTTAAAAAAGTCTCAGTAGTAGCACGGAGTCTGGAAATATGCCCGGTATATGGCTATAGGCTCACCCCCTATTACATGGGACTCATAACATAAATAGTGAAAAGTGGGTGTTACTTCTGTGTGCACCTCTGCCTACTCCTTCTGGGATAAAAGGCGTGATGTTATGTTAAGTAGAATTTTAGATGTCTGAATGCTAACGCGTAGTGCTGACTATTATTGGGTCAATTTTATTAGGTATTTACAGTTCCAGTAGTAGATTATCCGTTATTTGAAAAACGGGATTATTTCGGCAGTTGATTTGTGGATATCAAGCTGTGTACTAGTCAAGCTGCAATTGCCCACCCTCATACTCGTTCACAATACTGAGCCAATGGCGCTTTTGGTCACCACGCTCGCTTCAATTTTGCTTTGTTTTCACGACTTGTGAAAACAAAATTGTGGACGCACACCTGCCAAAGCTGAAGCTCAAAGTCGCTCAACGTGCGATGGAGAGAGCTATGCTCGGGGTTTCTTTTCGCGACAAAATCCGAAATATGGAAATTCGCCGCCGAACTAGAGTTACCGACATAGCTCGCAAAATCTGCAGACTGAAGTGGCAATGGGCAGGCCACGTCGCTCGAAGGACTGATAGCAGATGGGCCAAGAAAGTCCCTGAGTGGAGATCACGGGCCTGAAGATGGAACGTGGGCAGGCCTTCCGCTAGGTGGACCGACGACATCGCCAGAGTTGCGGGGAGCCAGTGGATGCAGGTGGCGAGTTGTCGTTTAACGCGGAGGACTAAGGGGGAGGCCTGACTGACAGACTATTATTTATTTTGTATTTGTTGACGTTTCAAAAGCACCAAACTATGGTTTAATTGAAATAAATGCTTTGACTTTGACTTTGACTTTGGCCTTTATCCAGCAGTGGACGTCTTCCGGCTGTTGATGATGATGACCTGCCTACCAATGTGCCAATTGACTGCATGGTTGCGTTGGTGCGGTGGCTGGGCAACCGGCTGCCGTGCAACGTGTCGCAGGTTCGATTCCCACACGGAACAACACTTTGTGTGATCCACAAATTGTTGTTCCTGGATGTCATTGTGTATGTGAATTTGTATGTTTGTAAACGCACCCACGACACAGAAAAAAAAATTGAATTTTTTAAAAAAAAATATGTCGCAGTGACATTAGCACAGTGTCGTGAACGAGTGCGAGTGTGGGCACGTGCGGCGGGCGTAAGATCTCTAGCTGGATCCACGTCTGTGTCGATAGTATAATACGAACTTTTTCGACATTGATATTTTAACATTTTCGACAGTTTCTGACTGCACGTTTAGCGCAGTGTCTGAGCAATCGGATGCCGCGCAACGTGAAGCGAGTTCGATACGAACGAAGCAACACTTTGGGTTATCCACAAATTGTTGTTTCGGGTCTGGGTGTCATTGTATATGTGAACTTGTATGTTTGTGAACGCAACCACGACACAGGAGAAAATCCTAGTGTGGGGCAACGTTTTTTTAAAAACAAAAAACATCGAATCTATAATCCATCAACTTTTCAATAAATACTATACCTAGCAAATATGTATACTACAAAAAAACAGTTTGTTCTTTCGTTACATTATATAGGAAGAAAAAAAAAAACAAAGAAAAATCGCAATCAAGAAAACAGCACACGTTTGCATATCTAACGGTGTATGGAGAGTAAATAATACAGTGTCTGCCTGTGTTTGTCTATATTCTACTTCGCTTAGCACAGTATCAAACAAACAGGTTTATATGTATTGCATATAAGACTATCGATACAACAGGTATGTATTCTTGTATGTATGACAATTGGATTTGTGTTGCTTGACGAATACAATGTCAACTGACTATCGGGACTTTGGAAGATCAGTCAAGCTAACAAAATTGTCACATTTTGCATTGAAATCTGCTGAACCTCTAATAGAAGGTTTTGCGTTAAAACAATGCACTTTTTGACAAACAAAGCCGTTCCCTATTGTTCCTTATTGGGCCGCCCAATAGGGCTGATGCCAACACGAGCCAGTTTGGGCCCAATCTGTGGTGGCTCCTTGAAACCTGCGCGGAACGCGACGCGCGGTACGTTCCGGTCTGGTTCTAGTCGGACGGCGCGCGGGTCACCCGTGTTCGACTGTTTTTTTTTTAAACGTTGCCCCACACTAGGATTTTCTCCTGTGTCGTGGGTGCGTTTACAAACTCCATATCATGGTCTGAACCAGAACCGGACACGAGAGGTCGCCATCGCCGATCACTCGCCGTCGCCGATCATGGCGTTCAATACTAATCCATCATAATGAATGACAATCCGTTCACAAATTAAAAGGAAATAACCTGTATTATAATTTTCCCGAGACGTACTAAATAAATTATAATGTTTTCGGCGTACTCACGTAATTATTTGACGACAGTCGACGACATGTAGCAGCGCGACAGTCGCCGCGTCGCAGGTTGCGAAATGCTGCTCATGAATATGAGCCTCTAGTATGGCTTAAAACTAGTCGAGTTCCTTGTCAAATTATTACGTGGATAAGCCGAAAACACAATAATTTATTTAGGAAATAATCTCCAAAGTTAACTTTAAAACAATAGATTCATTTAGTTTTAATTACAGAATCAAAGTGAATGTTTAGTAACCACAATTATTTGATTAATTACTGTTCACTTATTAATTGTAGAGAATGCTTTTATCAGTGGTTTACAGTAGCTGCTGTGTTGTGGTCGCTGTTAACAATGGGTAAGCAAAGTTGTAACAACTTCGGCTTTGAGGTCCGTATAAACAATGCTCGGTTTTAAACTGGTTTTTGGCTTGAAATTGTTTAATCTACTGATTTTTCAATTTTGGTTTGCGAATTACTTCTATATTATAGATCGTTACGACTTTTAATTTCCAAAGGGGTAGGTGAAGGTGCACATATAATAAGGGTGAAACTATTACCATGACTATTACCTGATATAATTCCAGATTACCGTACGTTACTGAGGCGAAAAACTGAAAAACTAGGTTTATTTAACCCGCGAATCGAACCCCTTGCATGCACACTCGACTTAGTGGCAGTTTATTTTTTTATAATAACTGTCGAGAGACATACTAAATTAACTAAAAATCGTGGGTAGTAACCCTCGAAACTAGTAGAACTTTTCTCAGTATATTCACGTGAGTAACCCGCGATTTTTAGTTATCGTGGCAGTTTATTTCAATATGTACCGGTAAAGTATTAAATAAGTATAGATCATAATATCCTTACTTACAATTCGTCGTCAAACAACAGCGACCTTTAGTGATGCATAACTCAATTACACTCGGCACTCCTGCCTGACTCGGAAACCACATCGCCAAACAAACACAACCTATGAATGCGCTCCACTCGTCAGCGAGTTTATGCCCCTACCGTGAGTTAAAGTAACTGGGTACTTGCTAACTAGTCAAAAACTTTTTTCGAACTGTCAAAAACGACAGTTTTCTGTGAATTTTGTACAAGATCGTGTATTGTTACGTCACGTATTTTTAGCGTCAAACAACATACTTATTTCTTAAAAATTTGCTGGAAAAATACTAAAATGAAGTTGGTCATTTATAACATTAAATACAGTAAATTGTATTGAACAGTCGAAATAATTTATATTTGATTAAGCAAAATACTCAAATGTTTTGTCGATACTCGATAGCGAAGACGTCATCAGCATCATTATTTTCAGCTTGTAAATATTCCATTGCTGAGCAAAGGCCGCTTTTCACGTGGAAAAGGTTTATAAATAACCACTTTGCCCAAAACGGATAAGCGATGTCAAACTTATAATTTGAAATTATATCTTTAAGTTTCCTTACGATATTCTTACTATACTTTAGTTTACCAGTTTGTCTAAATAATCATATTGTTACTTTTTGTATTGTTTACAAAACAAAAAACGCCGTGCCGGAACCATGCTGCATGTAAAGTGTAGGAGAGCCATGCTTCGGCACGAATAGGCCGGCTCAACCGAAGCGATACGGCCTCATAGAAAGTCGACGTGAAACAACGCTTGCGTTGTGTTTCGTCATGTGAGTGAGGTTACTGGAGGCCCAATTACCCCCCTCCCCAGTCTTCACAATACAAAAAGTAATACAAAAATTAGGCAATATGACAATTATCACATTATCGAGAGACATACTAATGTGTGTGATAATTTAAGTAAAAACGCGGGTTACTCACGTGAATATACTGAGAAAAGCTCTACTAGTTTCAAACCACAGAGAGGTTCTTCCGACAGTCAGTGAGCTGCGCGACGTCGCCGCGACCGCGCACGCTGCTCATGAGAAAGAACCCCTCTGTGGTTCGAAACTAGTAGAGCTTTTCTCAGTATATTCACGTGAGTAACCCGCGTTTTTACTTAAATTATCACATTGCCTAATTTATGTATTATTTTTCTAATTTCGAACTCTGCCTAAGAAGCGGTCACTTACGAAACTAAAAATTATCGTACAAAAACATGTCCGTCATCGCTATCGAGTATCCACAAATATGAATGCCTCAAACTCATGGTAGAGGTACTGATTGATAGTGACAACATCGACAGTGATTGGGTTCGAGTCACAGCTGGAACTAATTGAAGCACATAACTGCATTGTCTGTCTGTGTCGTTCTGACGTCTGATTTGTACCTTTTTAATGTGGTTGTAACATTCATCATCAACAGCCTATAAATGCCCACTGCTGAGCAAAGCCTCTTCTCACACGGAGAAGGTTAGAGCATTAATCACAACGCTTGCTCAATGCGGGTTGGCGATTTCAAACTTATAATTAGAAATTATAAGCCCAGGTTTCCTCACGATGTTTTTCCTTCACCGTTTGTCAGTGGTGTCTAATTAATCTTAGAAAGTACATATAACTCGGAAAAAGTCACATTGGTACTTGCCGTTGGTAGGTTTCGAACCCGCACCCTCATGCATGAAAAGCAGGCGTCTTAAACCTCTGAGCCACCACGACACTTGTAACATTGTTTTGTCGAAATATTTGCATGTATCCCATGCAAATATTATGTATGTTTAGGAATATGAACATACAAGATAAAAGTATTGCTCAACCACGCGGAGCAACGTGAAGAATGCTAAGTGGGGCAGTTTTATAAATATCAAAGTTTTTATCGTCCATGAGTGCAATATTCAACTTCAATGTCTGTTCTAGTGTTGATAACTTTTTAATTCAAAATCCTTCATATAGGAATAACTTATTTATTAAATGCGGTCACTCTGACAACCCTTTTTTTTGAGGGGGGAAAATCATCCAATGACTTCTCCCGCCCAGGTGACACGAGAGGGAGTGTCAGACTCTTACTGACTAAAACCCACCCCGTTCCTACTCCTGCACTTCGAGCCGGAGCCCTGTCAACCCGTTAAGTCTTCCGCGGCTCCGTATCGGCATCAGCCCTGTTAGGCCCCATCTGTCCTTGACAAGGTTGGGTATTAAAAACCTGCTCAATTAATCTAAGAAGTCAAAAACCTTTACCAAACAATCCTACCTAAATAGTTCAACTAGACGAAAGTAGTTTCATCACAACCGAACTCAAAGTGCGTCCTATATCAGGACAAGACCTGCAAACGATAGCTCATCAAACCAAGACATACGTCAGGTAGGTACCTGTTACTCACTTCACTTCATTATCCAACTCCATTAAACTCTGAAAACTGATTGATTTTCAACCTTAACGACCTAAGTTTGTATTGGTTCGAAGACACGACCGATATTACCTAAACATTGAAAACGTTAAAGTTTAAAATTGCTTATTTCCAAAGTTTGGTCTTCGGTGGTGTTGAATGTAAGCCGGTGTTGAGGGTTAAGTTGTTTTAGTAAGTAGGTGATAATGGTTATGTTATAGATAGAGGTACTTGTGATGTTGTAAATGTAACTTTGTTTCATACATTTCTTCTTTGGACGTTATAGTATTTGTCATAGTTGACGCAACTTTGAAAATGTTTAAATATTGTTTTGAGTTTATTAGGAAAATCGCATATGGTAAGAGGTATTGTAAGTAGCTAAAGTAAACAATTAGGAAGTTTTAATTCTATATGCAGTAGTACCCACCTAATGAAAATGAAAATATTCTTCTGAAGACATTAAAAAAGGGTCATTTCGCAAGAGGCAACCATAATTACCTGGTCTCCTTAGACCAGAATTCTATAAATCTACCATTCTAGCGTCAACTCAACACCATTGAATAGAAAGACCTGTTTCTCGGTAATTAAGTTCCCAAGTTTCCAACATACCTTAAGCTGCTGCAGCTGTTCCTTGAAGTCTGACTCCGCGAAGGTGATGGAAGCAGCGCACGTGATGTTGGCGGCTTCCAGCTGGGTGACGAGCTCGTTGACAGCCAACGAGTAGATCTCCTCATTCTGTGAGAATGCTGTTACAGTGTCCCAGCCGAATTGTCTGGTGAGAAGAAAATTATATGTCAATCTAAAATATGATTCCAAAAATGTTACAATTGGAATTTAAAGGTGCTCATCACTGGGAGCATTCGCGTGTAATGTAACGTTACAGATCTGAGCATTACATCAGTGAAGGAGGACAACCGAGCATTACAATGCGCACCTCGTAATGATACAATGTGTAATATCTTGATACAACTAATTGTAACATCAATGCGCTCCACTTCCCCCAGCCCCGCCCGCTTCGTTTGACATCTTGCTATGAAATGCTCAAAGTCGAATCAATATGTTACATTACACGCAAATGCTCGTTGTTACATTACAAGCAAATGCTCGTTAGTCAGGGAGGTATTATTGTAATGTAATGCTCAAAGTCGAATCTATAATGTTACATTACACGTGAATGCTCCCAGTAAGGGAGAGCACTTTTATAGATCTAAGATAGTTTGATCGATAGTGCTAAATTGTAACGTATTAACTTCAGCCTAAAAACCGATTTAAAATAACTTCTTTGTACTCTTGAGAAAGGTCAAAATTATTAACCGAAATTGATAACTGATTTCAGTCCAATATCTTTGGCTAAAATAAAAAAAGTATTTATAAAGTACTAGCGGACCCGACAGACGTTGTCCTGCATATCCACTTGAATGTATAAACAAAAATTCATTCAAATTACTTCAGCCGTTTAGGATAAATAACCTAGACATCGACTGCAGCGCCATCTGCCGGGCTGATTTGTGAATCTAAACCATTCCCAGATCCCCGTGAACACACACATAAACTTTCATCAAAATCGGTCCAGTCGTTTGAGAGAAGTTCAATACACACTCACAAAAGAATTATATATATAAAGATATTAGTTAAGTATTTAAAAGCTTTTTTATTACATACGTTGTTGCCTGGGTTTGACCGACAGCATTTCATACTGTTTTCAAGTCCACAAGTGTTGTTCATGAAAACTCTTTAAATAAACTGCGCGTACGTGCCATGAGTGGATCCAAGTCATTAGTGTAACGAACTAGACTCGAATTTTTAACCATTTACACTATAAAAACCATTTTAAAATGCCACGGTTAGGTTTGTTTTTCGTAAAATAAAAAGTATATGGTAAAGTAAAACTTGTTATTTTGTAAAACTGTGGTAAGAGCCTGTTAATGGTACCAAAAGGTTTCATCAATTGGGTACTTGCCAACTAGTCAAATTCAATACTGTTTTCGAACTGTCAAAAACGACAGTTTTCTATGAATTTTGTACGAGATTGTGAATTTTGTACGTCACGTTTTTTTAGTGTCAAACAGCGTACTTATTTCTTAAAAAAATGCTGAAAAAAATACTAAAATTAAGTTACTTATAAAATCAATTAATGAAAGTGTGTGATTTTTTGATATTTTATTGTATTAAATAGTCGAAATAATTTATTTTTGACTAGCTTCTGCCAGCGGCTTCGCCCGCGGTCCCAGGGGTAAAATGCCTATGTATCACTTCAGACCATAATCTACCTCTGTTCCGAATTTCATTCCGGTCCCTTCAGTCGTTTTAATATGACTGAGTAACAAACATACACACAAACACATAAACTCACATATTTTCATTTATAATATCGAGTCAAGCTAATTTCAACCATTGGCCTTTCAGTTACAGCGTAAAGTCTATGAATGAGTATTGTGAACGTTAGAGTAGACAAATACAATCAGAAATCACCGAATTGCTAAGCTATCGGGAGTTTCACGTGTTATTGTGAGTCAACCATAAAAGATAGACATATGCTGTCGAGGAATATTTTTTATATAATTTTAAGGAGAATATTTCCGTCATACATGATTTCTATGCAGCTTTAACCTATAAGCCTGCACACGCGACGGAAGTTTAAAAAATGGAGTAACTTCTCCCGTTTTCCCAATATTTCCCTTCACTGCTCTGCTCCTATTGATCGTAGCGTAATGAAAAGTATACTATAACCTGCCCAAGAGTATGAAGAATAATTGTGCCAAATTTCGTTAAAATCCATCGAGTAGTTTTTGTTTCCATAACGAACATACAGACAGACAGACAGACAGACAAAAATTTTACTGATTGCATTTTTGGCATCAGTAGCGATCCCTAACCACCCCTTGATAGTTATTTTTTAAATATATTTTATGTACAGAATTTACCTCTCTACAGATTTATTATAAGTATAGATAGAATAGATTAAGGCAAGTACCCAATTATGATCTATTTAAACTAAAACACGGTTGATCTTTTATTTTCTATTTCGGAATTTGCATACCCACAATCAATTAACTAATTCGTTATGGGCATATCGCAAAAGTAAACGATTACAATTTTATAACTCCCACTTCTCGTGTATGAGGGTGCGGATTCAAAATCTACTAACGGTAAGTACCAATTTGACTTTTTCCGAGTTATATGTACTTTCTAAGATTATTTAGACACCAGTGAAAAACGGTGGGCGAAAACATCATGAGGAAACCTGGACTTATAATTCCTAATTATAAATTTGAGCAATCTTGGTAATTAATGCTTAATCCTTCTCCGTGTGAGAAGCGATTTTGCTCAGCAGTGAGCATTATTTATAGGTTGTTGATGTATGTATTATTTTTTATATTTGATGGGCCGATGTTTGACCACTATCTCGCCTGGTGGTAAGCGATGATGCGGTCTACAATGGAGCACGTCGTCCCATAAGCAACCTATTCACTCGGGCCTTGAAGATATCCAGGTTATATCCTTCAGGAAATATAGACTCTGGCAAAGAATTCCACTCCTTAGTAGTACGCACAAGGAAGTAACTATGATGCGAAGCACTTCGTATCGGTGACGCTTTACCGATTTTCTTGTGGTACGATGATGGAAAGGACTAGGGGGAATCAAGTTATGCAATTCCCCCGCACACTCCCCGAAATGTATCCGGTAGAAAACCGAAACGCTTGCAACCTTACGCCTGTGTTTGAGGCTTTGAAGCCGGGCCTCCACAAGCAATCATCTTCAATATGCTCTAACGCGTCCAGCTGATATTTAGCCGAGACATCCCAAAGATGTGAACAGACCTCCATACAAGACCAAACCTGTAATATATGTATGTAACTCCCCCTCTTAATAAAGATCAAAAACATACCTAGGCCTTCATCAATAAAATAAAGAAAATATTTATACTCCGTACTAAAAGGGAGCTGAAACGGAACAAGTCGAGTATCATTGAGAGCTCGCATCCTGAAAGGTCAAATACTTAGAAATTCTTTTCAAAATCACACAGGTCTCACTTTACAGGTACTTATAAGTTAGTCCTGAATATTGTCCCCTTTCACAGTTGACAATGAACAGGAAATTATTTGTAGCAATGAAATATTGGTTCAGGGGATCTCTTTTCTTAAAAAAGGGTCTTAAAAAGGTTGTTGTTGGAGTCAGTGTATGAAGGGCGAGAAGTGAATATGTTTAACCTTCCGATTGCTGTTATATGAGACAAAATAAGGGGCGATTTTTCAATCATCAGTTAACTGAAGAATAAAATTGACAGATGACAGTTTTTAGTATGAAAGAATTGTCAAATAATGAAAATTTACCTCTGTTAAAATTTATCTGAGCATTGAAATATTGGCTCTAAGAAAAACATTTTTGACTAAGATCCTATATCTTCGTGGTTTCTATATTTGTTTTTTTTTATAATAGTAACAACAGAGTTATAACCCCGGGTTTCCTCATGATGTTTTCCAGATTTAAGATTATCTAGACACCACTGACAAACGGTTCACCGTTTCTAGATAATCTTAGAAAGCATATACAACGCGGAAAAAGTCACATTGGTACTTGCCGTTGGTAGGTTTCGAAGCCGCACCCTCATGAGAAGCGGGCGTCTTAAACCTTCGGGCCACCACGACATACTATATGATCTAGAATAACATGTAGGCTACTTGTACTAGTATTGAAACATAATATTTTTAGCTTTAACACAGTTAAGTTTCGCTACTGTAAAACGAACTATTCCGCCTTCCAACTCAAGGTACAAATCAAATGAATGTTGCACTTAATTAACTTACAGTAGTAAGTTGCTGAACAGTTGAGTAGCAGGTAGCATGATTACATTAAAACTCCGGCTTTTTTAAAGCTAGTCTTTAATTAGTTGACTGGTCGTGTATTAAGTGAGTTAGGACCGTGTTGGTTTGATTACCAGAAATAAATAAATAAAATCTTTATTCAGAAATGAAAATGAACACAGATACAAAAATATTTCTTGGGTAAATAAAATAGATCTCACATGGTTGGGTGCCTGTACTAGGTATCCTGTGTCACAGGCGAGAGTAGGTCTAACATAATTATAATTTTATTTCTATATATATACGCTCTTACATGCTAATTATTAATTAATACTTGACAATATTTTGACAAATAATATAAAGACTATATAATATACATAAACACATACCTCGCGCCTTATACTCCCGGAAGAGATAGGCAGAGGTGAAACAACTTAAGAGTAACATGACAATATGGTGTAGGTAGATAATTAGGTATCCAATACACAAATAATTAAAATTAGGTACGATTTAACTTAGAGAAAGTAAAAGAAGTTATGTGTGATGTGATGAGATGTGATGCAGAAATGTCTAATGTCTATGTCATACATTATTTTCTATTACTAATGCCGGAATACTGAAACGTTACTCAATTTTAAGTCGTGCTTAAATATCGTGCCGTCTGTGTCATTTTACAAAGAATTTGTAGAGACAGAACTATACTTAAGCGCGACTTAAAATTGAGTAGCGTTTCAGTATTCCGATATATGTTATTCATTTTGTAAAAGTTTAAAACAATAATAAACTCTGAACTGTTACAAAATGATACATTAAAATGAGTCTAAAGAACCCTAATCCTACAATTTTATTATTTTCTTTGTCAAAAGAGCATCTTCAGTATTATTATCAATTATTAAAAATATTTTATTCACGTTAAGAACTGAATCGCTTTTTACCTCTATCTCTAAACATACTTTAAAAAAAACAATCAGCCGAACATAGTACCTCCTCCTTTTTTTGAAGTCGGTAAAAAGAGTAACAAATGTAGTTTCTTCATCGTTCTTCTCCACTCGAATCTACATTTTGGAACGAGCGCCTAACTTCACTGACGGATAGACTGACAGACTATTATTTATTTTATATTTGTTGATAAGCACCAAATTATGGTTTAATTTAAATAAATGGTTTTGGGTTTGAGTTTGACATAACATAACATAACATAACTCATGCCTTTTATCCCCGAAGGGGTAGGCAGAGGTGCATGCACATTATGCCACTGTACAATGTAACACCCACTTTTCACTATTCATGTTATGAGTCCCATGTAATAGGGGGTGAGCCTATTGCCATATACCAGGCACAATTCCAGACTCCGTGCTACTACTGAGAATTTTTTTAAAACCCTGTAATACTTTGCCCGACAGTCGCACTTGCGACCACTCGGCCAACGAGGCAGTTTGAGTTTGACTTCATATTATTTAAGTTTTCTTTAACATAAACTTTTATTTCAAGTTTTTACACAAATTAAAATAAACTAAGAAATAGTTTCGACATCCAGTACAGTTGCAGCTCCCGCTGCGAACTTTACCAAGCAAATTAGATTTTCAACTGTTTGTTACGGGAATTTCTTTACTTTACTTATTCTGAAATGATTAGTGCAATGAATTGTATACCAGGCAAAAGTAGTAGTTTAAATGTAAAGACATTTCAGTATTCATACCAGGATAAAACATTAACCAATTTGGATTGACTATAGATTTTTTTATGGGATAAGCCAGTCCGGGAGACAGATCACCCTGGTGTTCTCTCCTGAACACCAGAGACGTGACACGTGCATTACCGGCCTTTTGAGGATTAAGAATTTGAGGACTGTTAGAGATCTAGGAATTGGGGACATTGGGGAAGGGGAGGGTAATTGGGCCTCCGGTAACCTTAGTCACATGACGAAACTCAACGCAGGCGTTGTTTCACGTCAGTAATCTGTGAGGCCATGGTATCAATCTGGTCGAGCCCGCCCATTCCCCACACTTTAAAATAGTATAGTATAGTAGCTTTAAATATAATGAGTTTTCAACATTCATACCAGGGTAAAACATCTACAATCTATTTGAATAGACAATAGAATTTTAGGTCATAAATTAAGTAAAAGATTTTGTCTTCTTGTTATTTATGTCATTTAGGTCGTCAAATATATGGACATATAAATTACCTAATAAGTTTACCACAAACTACGTACTTTAAAATAATTTCTATCAACTACTTTTTTCTCCGACTTCGTAGCATTTGTAGACAGTCTACTACGCCGTAGTAACTTCGTAGCCACTACGTAGCCGCATTTTTTAAGATGGGAAAATCATCAAATGACTGCTCTCACCTGGGTGAGGTAGGAGGGCGTGTCAGACTCTTATTGACTAAAAACCGCCCCGTTCCTTCTCCTGAACTTCGAGCCGGAGCTTCGGTAACCCGTTAGGTTCTCAGCCGCATAGCCTCTGGTATTTTGAACTTACCTAATGAATGCAATTCTGGCGGGATTATGTGAAGAATCAGGAGCCACTGTTCTGCAGAAGAGGGGAAACTCTGTTCTGTCGCTTAGAGCTGGTGACGTGGAGCCGAATGACACCTGGAGAAGTAAACAGATCGTTAGTACTAAACTGTGTACTGTATATAAGAGTTCTGATTTTTTTAGTATAGGATCATAAGAGACACTATAACTTAACCACCTGGCTTCATTTGGTTCGATGAAGCTCGAATTTAAGTTGAATTGACGTTGATTTATTTAGGTAAATTACACACATTAATAAAACTTTTTGAATAACAACAGAATTAAATTTAAACTGAAAATCATGCGTAGGTTTCATACAAGGTTAAATAAAGATAATTAAAATAAATGATTCCTCTGTGCGCCTTAACTAAAAAGTATTTATATCTATGGATGTATTTATATGTGAATAGCTACTTGGGCGCGGTTTCACCCGCTCTGCTCGGCTCCTATTGGTCGTAGCGAGATGTTGTATAGCCTATAGCCTTCCTTAATAAATTGACTATCCAACACAAAAATAATTATTCAATTCCAATCAGTAGTTTCGGAGATTAGCGCGTTCAAACAAACAAACAAAAAACAAACTCTTCAGCTTTATAATCTAATGTATAAAATTCTCGTGTCACAATTTTCGTTGCCATACTCCTCCGAAATCCGGTATCTAAGAGAATCGGCCAATATCTATTTTTCATCCCCCTAAATGTTAGGGGTAGTCCACCCCTACATTTTTATTTTATTTTTGCAAAACAACGTTTGCCGGGTCAGCTAGTATTAGTATAGATTGATAAATCATTGTTATAATTAAGCCACTGTCATTAATAATCATTCTATTAATGAACAATAACTACAACAATCATTCACTCGTGTGTGAAATTAATTACTATGATTATAATCTCTGGGTAGGGTTGTCACTGAGCTATATGTTTTGTACATATGATGAGTTGAGTATGTTCTAAAAATAATATTTTTATTATACAAAAAAGTGTTTAAAACGTATTAATTATATACTCTAATGTATTTTAAGAGTTTATTTTTCCAAGTTGCCTCGTTGGCTGAGTGGTTACAATTGCGACTGCCGGGCAAGGGGTCTTGGGATCGATTCCCGGGTCGGGCAAATAATTACTGGGTTTAAAAAAAATCTCACTCGTAGCACGGAGTCTGGAATTATGCCCGGTATATGCCAATAGGCTCACCCCCTATTATATGGGACTTATAACATAAATAGTGAAAAGTGGGTGTTACATTGTACAGTGGCATTAAGTGCCGTAATGTGTTTCTCTGCTTACTCCTTCGGGGATAAAAGGCGTGATGTTATGTTATGTATTTCTAAGTTTACAATGACCGAATGAGAAGGTTTTTTATTTACATGATAACAAAGATAGTTTGTATATTATATTTATGTATATCCACACGATTTTATTGATCCCTAGTAATACTAATCATAAATCATAAAAGGTCATAAATGTATTCTTGTTGTTATAACAGTTTTATCAATGTTCTTATAATTCCGTTCCTTCCTTCTTTTTTACACTACCACTTAAAAATGAGGCTTTTATACCTGATAGGTTGCCGTTTGTCCACCATCTCGCCTGGTGGTAAGCGATGATGTGGCCGATGATGGAGCCCGCCTACCTATGAGCAACCTGTTCACTCGGGACTTGAAGACACCCAAGTTATATTTGTCGGGAAACACAGATTCCGGCAAGGAATTCCATTCCTTAGCGGTTAGCACAAGGAAGCTTGGCGCGAAACACTTCGTGGGTGGAATGTCCACCATATATGAGTGGCGCCATGCCATTCATATAGTAGGCGTGTTAAATTTTTTTTATACTAGTGACAACCCTATATGAGACTATGGTTGTTGCTAAACTGATAAACAGTATTAAGGTCACGGTTGACCTCGACTGGTTATGATTGGAGCTTGATTAATTCCATACTGCCAGACGAACTTTCATTATTTTATTATTATTTATTTCTGATTACTTCGTAGATGAAAAAGAAAGTCTTACAATATTGTAACTAATTTCGTTTCTAGAACATTAGGCGTCATTTTGTGATTCAAATATGGTTAAGTGGTATGTAACAGTAATTATTTATTTTTACTGATTGTGGTTTGTATATTAGGAATAGATTCAGTTATTAGTTTATCTTATTCTATTATTTGAAGCCTATCCATCCCGGGATCCATCAGACCACTACGGATGGGGCCCAACAGGGCCGATGCCGATTAGAAGTCGCGGAGAACCTAACGGCTTACTGGGGCTCCGGCTCGACGTGCAGGAGAAGGAACGGGGTGGTTTTTAGTCAGTAAGAGTCTGACACTAAGGCGGGAGAAGTCATTCGATGATTTTCCCTCTTTAAAAAAAAATATCCATCCCGGGATGGATAGGCCCATACGTTCCGAAGGGGTCTGGATTGGAATCCCCAGGGAAAAAGGAAGCGTGGCCCTCCTCGGCAAACCTGGCGTCGTACTGTGATAGCAGAAGCAGCGAGCATCGGAATGACGTGGAGCGAGGTGAAACTCAAGACCGATCGAGATGGATCTATGGATCCATCATCATCCAAATTATATGTAATTTGAACATTAAAAATGTAAAGAAAACGTCTATAACTGGAAACGATACACAAATAGTATCATATATCCATTGGAGTTCAATCTCCACGAGACGTAATCCAGACACAAAACTTCAATCCAGTGTGAATTTCCAAACCATTGTAACAATACACTGAATGGAATCACATCTCATCCTAATAGAATTACTACCAAAACAAATCCACCCAAAATTCAAATATTCGATTCAACAAATTCACTTCAAATTTAAACCCTATTTTTACAACACTACAGATGTAAATTGAATAACACTCTAGGTCTCAGATGTTCCCTATAGACGGAAAATCGAGTTGTCTATCTAGGCTAGCTTCGTTTGTTGGAGTTGACGTCGACGCCCGTAGCAGGTAAGTACCGGATTGAAGTAGTTGAAACTGGTTCAAACTGGTTTTAAGCGGCTACAGTTAGTTCGTGACTAATTTGTGGCTGGTGATTTTAATGGTTAGAATTTGTAATGCAGGTATTAATTCGTTTCAATTAAATATACTGGAATAAGTTACTGTAAAAAAATCCTTTAGCGAAATAGATTACCTACCTATCCTTTTGTGTCAATAACGCTTCGATATTACATTATCATATGAGTAAAATTCCGTACAAAAAGGCACTAAAAATCAACTTATGTACCAAAAAGCCACTATCCACTTTCACTTACTTAATTGCTAAAGTTTCTAAAACCCTTTACAAGAACTATTTAGAAAAGAGAGTTTTTGTTAAGGCCAACCTTATTGGACCTTCCCTGAAATTGGAAACTGAACGGTCTTCAGTTAAGAATTGTAAAAAGTACTGAAAAAAAGACATTATATCCTACAATTTTTCTTTATTTACATTAATAAGAAACTTAATTTACACATGTTATATTGACAGTGGCATTAACTGACGTAATGTACACCTCTACCTACCCCTTTGGGGATTTGAGGTTCGATTCCCGGGTCGGGCAAAGTATTACTGGGTTTTAAAAATCTCAGTAGTAGCACGGAGTCTGGAAATGTGCCCGGTATGTGGCAATAGGCTCACCCGCTATTACATGGGACTCGTAATATAAATAGTGAAAAATAAGTGTTATATTGTACAGTGGCATTAAGTATCGTAATGTGTACCTCTGCCTACCCCTTCGGGCATAAAAAGGCGTGATGTTATGTATGTATGTATGTATGTATAAAATAAAAATAAATAATACCTACATACGACGCTAGAGAAGCTAAACATTGCCAATTTACCGCGTCATAAAATGTCCACAAGTAAAAAAGGGTAAAGGACCGTTTTTTTTAGTCTGCACCCTTTATACCCCTTTGGGGGATGTCAAAGGGATTAACCCTAAAGCCAGGGTTTCTCAATGATTTCCAAGATTGTGTAATCAAGTAAGGTCTGGCAATCTAATAAGGTTTCGTCATCTAATGAAGTCGTATTTTTTTGAGTTCTTATCCAAAAAGTAGGTGTGTAAATAGATTTAATTTGCTTTATTTTTGTTAAATGTTAAGTTACTTTATTGTTTTGTCACTCAAAGTAATTTTATTTACTGAATTTGTATTGAGATGAATATTAAATACTGAGACTGCCTCGTTGGTGGAGTGGTCTCGAAAATGGAAATTTTGTCTAAAATAAAAATCTCAGTAGTAGGACGGAGTCTGGAATTGTGCCCGGTATATGGCAATAGGCTCACCCCCTATTACACGGGACTCATAACATGAGAATGCCACTAGGCATTAAGTCAGCCATTGTATACAATTGCAAGTAGAGTAAATAAATAAATAAAAATTATGAAAAGTGGGTGTTAAATGTAACAATACAATGTATAGTGCCATTAAGTGCCGTAATGTGTACCTCTGCCTACCCCTTTGGGGATAAAAAGCGTGATTTAATATTATCAATTAAATATATTGAACGATTCACAACTTTATGTCTGTTTTTAAATATGTAGGTTCATAACACATTCAACCAAAAAATACCACATACACAATTTCTCTCCTTTCAAAATAAGATAAATAAAAAAAATAAACGTTTTCGAAAACACCATTTCCTCAGGTGACTGGTCACAGCAAAAGTTGAGTTCAAAAATCAGAGTTTAAAAATTGGGAATTCGAATAGCATCGAGCCGATGGGAAGCTAGTAAACTGTTTTTCTCGAACGTAGAGGGAAACTCGGAAAAGCCATGTTTTTGACGGCGGGTATGAGCAGTGAAAATTGGTGTGTCCAGCACACGCTTTGAAAGGAAACTGATTTTATCCAAATACAGAGAGAATTTAGAATTTGTCGGGTGCATGCGGGTTGCTCGCGAATCTCACGGTAGAGATTCGAGCACGGGCTCAGATGCTGCAGATTGAAGCAGGGACTTATTCGTTCCTTTTACTGGTGCTAGATTTAAGCTTGGGTTTGTAATAACGTTTGTATTTTTGGCTATCTTGTAAATTGTTGAAATGGTAATCTTTTTTCTGTAGGAGAATAAAACACTATCATCATCATCAACAGCCTATAAATCCCACTGTTGAGCAAAGCCTCTTCTCACACGGAGAAGGTTTGAGCATTAATCACCACGCTTCCTCAATGCGGTTTGGCGATTACAGACTTACAATTAGAAATTATAAACCCAGGTTTCCTCACGATGTTTTCCTTCACCGTTTGTCAGTGGTGTTTAGATAATCTTAGAAAGTACATATAACTCGGAAAAAGTCACATTGGTTCTTGCCGTTGGTAAGTTTCGAACTCGCACCCTCGTGCATGAGAAGCGGGCATCTTAAACCTCCGGGACATCACAACACATTCAAGAACAACAACACAATATTCAAGTCAAAAAGTAAGAGGTGAGTAGCCTAAGTAGCGATTTTTAGTTAATTCCATATGTCTCACGATAGTTATTATAAAAACTATTCAAGTCGTAGTTGGATTTTGCAAATATTATGACTAATAAGCAATGATGTACAAAATAACCAATACAAAGTATCTGAAATATAAAATGTAAGATACTTTAAAATTAAGTATTTCAGATACCAGATACAAAATACTATTGACATTTGTATTGTAACTTTTGTGACACATACTAAATAAATTATTATTGACATTGGTATCAGAAATACTAGTTGTAGTTTATTTTTATTAATGAAAAGAATTCTAAAAGTATCTTATCCGAAAAAGTATTTGTAAAATACTAAGATACAAAACGAATGTATTTAAATACATCTATAAAATGGAATTTAAAAAAAGTATTTCAAATACAAGATCGAAATACTTATTTTGTACCTTGTATCTGTATTTCAGATACTTGTATCTTAAATAATTCACACCTCTGTTAATAAGTCATGGATACTTAAAAAAAATACAGATCACTTTATGTAGCTATCACTGTTAGTTAAAACAACAACAATCATTTCAATAAATACATTGATAAAAAGACTAGAATTCTTTTCCAGAGCCTGTATTTTCTGAAGGGTATAACTTGGGTGTCTTCAAAACCCGAGTGAATAGGTTGCTTATGGGTCGACGTGCTCCATCTTAGACTGCATCATCGCTTACCACCAGGCGAGATAGTGGACAGACGTCAGCCGATCAAAATAAAAAAAAAGACAAAACAGATATTTTCCTACACCAGCATGTCGTACCTGCACAATATTCCAGTAGGGCACGATCTTGGCGATGCTCTCGGTGACTTCAGAGCAAGCGGTGCCCAGTAGCATCACCATGCGAGAGTCCCTTTCCGTGTACAGAGCGTGGAAGAAACGATCCACACCCACTCCTGGGTCACACTGGAAAACAAAAGTATTATTAAAAATTACAGTAAAAAATATATTAAAAGAGAATCGTGTTTTAGTGCAAAAAGGCCGATTTGTGGGCTTACTCTAAAATCCAATTCCGATCGATCGACATTGGTATTGTGAAATTTCATACTCTCGAGTTGCAATACTAGCGCCTATTGCATCCATATTGCGTGAATATTTAATGAACTAAGTGGTATTGAGTTTGGCTTTATATTTCGTACTCTGAATGCTATTTTAATAGCTACGATAGGGGTTGTATAATTTTGACATTGTATAATTATTGAGAAATTGCATTGACATTGAGATTGGTTTCAAGAGTCAAGCACCTTGATCGGAGTGATATCACGGCGTCACAAGAAATGGGCGTGAAACCGTGAAATACTTGCGTCGTGTGAAACCGTGTGACTCAATGAAGTATAAAACTCTATACTCAGAATTTTAATTAGATTCCAGATTTGACAATAGTTACTGTCATTTTGTGAAATAATGATACCACATATAATAGTGTAGTGATGCACACAAAAATCGATAAACAATCGGTGTGTGTGTTTTATAATAAATGTTACAGAAAGTGACAGGATAGCGATTGCGATGACAGCGACAATTTATAAAATAACTTATTACCATAATACATCTATATGTTTTATTTGTCATGTTCCTTCATGATTACATTTTTTTATTTATTTCACACACAATTATAAAAGAAAAGGCTCAGATCGTTAATTAATCGTCAAAACTAAATTATCGGTTCAGAAATATTTAATTTCCTGATATACTTAGTTTACGAGAGTAAAATTATAAACGAGAAGAATCGATCCAGAAATATTGCATTTCCATATCGAATAATTTCGCAACGTCACTATTTAGTACTTGTCATAACGTTGCAACACTGAAATTGTCAAATCTGGAATCGAATTAAAATTCCAAGTATAATAACAAAATGCCTAACTGGGAAATCTACTAGAGGTTCCCCACTGTAACCAATGAATCAGTAAAATACTGTCCCTTGCGCAGTTAAGAACTAATATAAGTGCCATAATTAAAAAGAAAATACGTCTAAATACACAATAATATATTGCTCGAGCATCGACCTCTAAAACAACTAGTCTAAGCCACAGAGTTAAAGTTAGAAATAGAATGCAACTCTTAGAGTTACACAAACAGACGGAATAATTTAGATAGTGTCTCACACAGAGTGTGGGCGAATTAAACATCTAACTTTTAGAATGGGGAACTTTACGACAGTTTGTTGCTAAGAGGCTCGTCAGGGATGTACTTAGTATGTTGGTATGTATGTAATTTCGTCTTTTTCTATTGTGTCGCTTTATTATGTAATAAGTGATGTCACTTCATAGTATAAAACAAAGTCGCTATCCGCCGTCTGTCTATCCCTATGTATGCTTATATATTTAAAACTACGCAACAGATTTTGATGCAGGGAAAATCATCGAATGACTGCCTAGGTGAGGAGGGAGGGAGTGTCAGACTCTTGCTGACTAAAACCACCCCGTTCCTTCTCCTGCACGTCGAGCCGGAGCCCCGGTTACTCGTTAGGTTCTCCGCGGCTTTTTTTTAATAGATAAAGTGATTCTTAAGAAAGTTTTATATGCATAATACATGCATATTGCACCCGTGCGAAGCCGGGGCGGGTCGCTAGTTATTACATAAAAGTAAACTCGATTTAATATTATTTTTTTTGGTTTTTTATTGTTGTGTCATGAACTTTCGCATTTATAATATTTTTGTAGGATATTTGTGAATATACTCTCGATACAAGAAGGAAACCTTGTGTAGTTAGGGTACATAGTCTCTTATAAAACACTATTGAAAATTGGCTCTTATATTGAATCTACTAAAGCTCTTATTTGCTCATGGTAAGAGCTTTGATTCAAGGTTTTCTTTGTTCTTAATTTCTGGGACTGGTCAACTCCAGACTGTATTTTTTACTGTCCTTTAAGGTTATTTTTTTTTTATCTCTTTGACTGGATTTTAGTGTTACATTATTCTCGCACAACCCAAACAACAAAACTATGTAACTAGAGAATTGTATTGTGACCCTGATTGAAAAAGAGTAACCTACGGAGTTTCTTGTTCGTTCTTCTCTATAGGAATCTACACCATAGAATGAAAAAATTGCTTCACTTTTATTTTTTTTGTTGAAGTTTAAAGTACTCTGTGGTCTAATTGAAATAAATGATTTTAACATTGACTTTGACTTCTGAGGGCCACTATCTCGCCTGGTGGTAAGCGATGATGCAGCCTACGATGGAGCATGTCGTCCCATAAGCAACCTATTCAGGTCATTGAAACTAAGACTACATTACATACACACGTACGTACATTTTCACTGAATATACAAGGTGTTGTTTTAAAGCCGCGACATATTCTAGGAGGTAACTCGGCTATCGATTCTGAGTCCAAATCAATAAAAAAATGGTAGGTAAAATTTTTCATTTTTCTGTAAATTACGGAAATCCGTAAGTGTGAACTACACGCCACCGTCTTGGAACTAGTTTTATAACGCGGCAACTAATAACGCACAAACTCAAACACGTAATCAATATTATTCCTAATTCCATAAAACTCCAATAAGAAACATTGCTGTCGCTTTTTCTGATATACTGTCGAACTTAAACGATTTATTATAGCCGTATTTTTAACTATTGGCCCGAAATTTTCTCTTACATTGAACTTTTATGACTTCTGTGACATGCCCCCTTGAAATGACACGGCTTCAAAACTACACCTTGTATATTGGGGTTTTAGGTAGATATTGGTCTTTCTATCTCCCCTCACAGAATGGTGCACTATTCACTGGACATCCTATGTTTTTACTACTTTAAAACTTACCTTGGTATCATTAGTAATAAGATGCAGCTTGTATCCTGGCAGTAGACCACGTTTATTGACATGGTCTACTGCCAGCCTTGCAGCAACCAGCTCGGAGACACCATCAGCTCTTGGAGCGTCCCCCACAGACAGCTCGAAGAGGCCCAGGATGGAGACGATGCGATTGGACTTGGCTTTTGGAAGGTCTGTGAAAGAAAGATATAGTTTAATTAGTTTTTTATATTGAAATATACACTAAGCCCAGACCTACTATATTCGCAATAAATGATTTGAATTTGATAATTTGAATTTGATGTCTTTACTAAACTTGATTTTTACCACAAACGCGTAAAAAGGGACTCAGTAATCTCCTAGACGCCTTTTGTGTATGGAACCCTAAAAGAAGGGAAAGGGTTCCCTTTAGGCAAGACAAACAACTGACGCCATCCGTTAGGGCTTAGCTGTGTTACTTCATATTTTGTATAACATATGAGGGATAACGTAATATACTTACGGTATCCTTGCTGATATTTTATGTAACACCTACTTATGTTTTTGTGATCTGTCTGGGAACACGCAATAACAAGTTTGTATTTATTTTTATAATAACTATCGTGAGACATTCCTAATTAACTAAAATCACGGGTTACTCACGTGAATATACCGAGAAAAGCTCTACTAGTTTCGAACCACAGAGGGGTTCTTCCTCATGAGCAGCGTACTAGTAGAGCTTTTCTCAGTAGGTATATTCACGTGAGTAACCCGCGATTTTAGTTAAGTTTGTATTTATTTGACTCTTGTTATAAGAAGTTTAGATGGGAACCGTAACCGTAATAATAGCATAATAATAGCGTAATAATATATTAATAACATAATCTGTATTTTAAAAGTTAGTTAGTAAGTGTTAGTTACACTATTTATAACTCAAAAATGGTTAAATCGATTTGGATAAAAATTTATGGCGAGGTACCTCCAGGAGACGGACATAGGAGACTTTTATCCAATATTTTTTTTTACTTTTTACCGAAAACCACGAACGGAGACCAAAAAAACGGGATTGTGCGTACGAAGTCGCGGGTAGAAGCTAGTTAGGTTTATAAAAATCTATACATATAATAAATCTGTAGAAAAGTAATTTTTGTACATTGAAGAAATTGACAAAAAAAATAGCCACTGTGTTAAACGATAACCAACAGAACCCATTTCCATCATTTTTGAAATTTTTGTCTGTTTGTCTGTTTGTCTGTTTGTTTGTGCGCGCATCACGTAAAATCTACGAATTCAATGCAGACATTGCTAATATACAAAAATTTTACGCAACTCGAGGTGTAACTTAGTTTTTGTTTCATCGAAATCGGTTCACTCTATCAGAAGATATGATTAATTTTGTGAGTTCAAGTAAAATGTTACAACACGCAATTCAGTATAGTACTCGAAATTATATCTTTGGAAATTTTTTTTCGTTTGATCATTGGTTTGAAGTCCGAAGTAAAGATACTAATTGATATTATAAACAAGTAGATTTTTTTTTATGTGGGAAAATCATCGATTGACTGCTCCTGCCTAGGTGAGGCGGGAGGGAGTGTCAGACTCTTACTGACTAAAAACCACCCCGTTCCTTCTCCTGCACGTCGAGCCGGAGCCCCGGTTACCCGTTAGGTTCTCCGCGACTCCGAATCGGCATCGGCCCTATTGGGCCCCATCTGTGGTGGTCTGATGGCTCTTTGAGGCACGCGCGGAACGCGACGCGCCGTACGCTCGGGTCTGTTTCTGGTCGGACGGGGAGCCACCCATGCTCGCCGTCCGCAGGCCCGCGCTTACAGTGGCCGGATATCGTCCCGCGATCCCCGACGCCCAGTGTGTCCTTCACGATGGCTGGGTTGCGAGGAGGTAGCGCTTCGCTGCCTCACGCGTCCCGCATTCTCCTTAGCGAGCATGACTGCTTCGCAAAAGGAGGAGACGGCACGCGAGAGGTCGCCATCGCCGATCACTTCCCTGAGGGCACGGCGGTGCTCAGCCCACACAGGGCATTCTCCCACTGTGTGTTCCACCGTGTCCTCAGGGCGGCCCTCGCAGTGATGACACCTGGGCGTTTC